CTTCGCACCCTTTTGGGTGCTCGGACCCTAATAAATAATAATAATAATCACAACGGTTACAATAGGGTCCTTGCACTGGTGTGCTCGGACCCTAATAAATACAAATAGGCCTGAATTCAAAATCACTATTAACTGTTCTGCAGAAACTCATGTATTATTATATGTAGATGTGTAGTTCAGCTCCAGATAAATCTGAGGAGAAATGACTGATAAAGCAGGAAAGGAGAAAATACATAGTTCCTATAGCTGGATTTATCTTGATTCTTTGCTTCTTTTTTAAAAATCTCTGGATCATTTTATCTCTTTAGGCCTCAACACTTGAGTGAAACGACCACTAACTGACAGTGTGGATTGGATTCTGATCTTTTGTTAAAGGTCACCGGCTATTAGCTTTGTGAGCCACTAATCGTATAAAACTGTGTAGTATTCAGTCCAGTTTCTTTGAAGTGGGGTTGCATGAGGTACTTATCAATTGTCTGTGTGTTATTTACAATAGAGCTTTGGAGTTTTTTTTGTTTGGAAGCTAAGCTGTGGACAGTCAGCAGCTTGATCCAGAGGAACCTTTTCATGTAGGTGCATCCAAAATACTTAACGTTGCCTTTTAGTCCTGTTAAGCAACCAGGAAAAAAAAAAAAACAGTTCAGGTGTGCACAATATTTAGAATATTTTTTACTGCTTGCCATCAGGCGGCCTTTACTTTTGGCACTACATTGTTCAGCCGGAGAACTTTTGTATTCCTACATCCAAGTATCTGCATTAAACCGCAGATCCAGAGCTCCAACCAGCGTAATTCCCTCGATGTGTTCAGTACAAATACAGAAGTTCTACGGTTGAGAAAATGTAATATAGTTGTATAATATTTTCAATTCAATTCAATTTTATTTGTATAGCGCATATTTACAACAACAGTCATCTCATAGCGCTTCACAAAGGCAGAAACAGAAACACCCAACAATCCAAAACATCTGGATTCCCTATAAGCTTCAACAGTCCGCAAGCAGTCCGCAACAGTGGGAAGGAACCGAAAACCCCCACAGGGGAAAAAAAAGGCTCCGGGAGGGACAGCCATCTGCCTCGACCGGTTGGGTGAGAGTGGGATGAATTATACAATTTAGTTTACAGTTAAACAAGTTATTAGAATTTTGGCAGATGAATTACACTCAAACTGTGACTGTCGGCAGATGGACAGAGTCTCCAGCTGTATGTTGTTTCTACGCTGGATTATTTACATGTTTTCTGTGTATTATTGCCAGCAATTAATTTCTAAATATAGCTCACATTTGATCAGATATTGTTTTTTTAGGTGAATAAAGTCCATTTATCTGCTGACGTCATACAAGCTCATTTTAAAGAACTTTCATCTAGAACTTATCCTGTAAAAATAGTGAATTAAAAAGTGTAAAGTAGCCTGAAACAGATATATGTGATAAACTTGTACCTCAATATGAGTGCAGTTTTGCATGCAAGTAGCTGCTAAAATACCAACTTCTAAAACGCTACCAGAGTAACAGCAGGAGAAGGAAATCCTGTTCATGGTTTTATAGTGAGTGTGTGTTGGACATGTGTACTCACCACCTGCTGGATGAGGGCGTGGTTGGTGGCGTTCATGCAGGAGCCCAGAGGATAGAAACACTCTCCATCACAGTAGTACGCCGAGTATCCAGTCGGAGCCAAAACCCAGTCCTGAGATCAGCAGAAAGAAACGTCATGAAAGACGAGCAGGTTTGATGTAGGCTATATGAAAACATCCCTGCTTTCTAATTTGTTGAGTTTCAATACAACCGCTACTAATAAGACATGAAACAGGAAACCTAAAAATAAACCTCTTTAATTATCGATACAGAAGCTGTTAAATGTGTGACTGCTTAAAATACTTGTTTTAATCAAACCTCAGAGCTCCAGATGTTAAACATGTTGAACCATTCTGACAGATGAATAAATCAGTATCAGTTTAAGTTTAGCTAAATTTATTAGTCACATTTCTTCAACACTAATTGGCTGCAAAATATTTTCTCCACGAATCCACTGATCTGTGAGCAGCTGCAGCCTCATCCTGTATCCAGATACATCATCTGAGATATTTGGGGATAGCAGCACATCGAGGACTCTGTTAGAAAAGTTGCTAACAGCGCTTTGTTGGCTTCAAATTCCAAAGGAGACTTTTCTTTAACTGTTAGGGTAGTTCTGGCGACGCTCAGTCTGTTACTGATTGAAAAAATGCCGTCTGATTAAAGCTCCTGACAATAATTATCTTTGCAGGAGGAAGAATTTGGCCACAAGAAATCTGAAACCTGAAGGCAAATACAGAATACAGTTTTTAGGAGTTATAATATCTTCTTTATGTTGTAGTGAATTAAATATTCGCTGTGCTCCAGTTTCCTGCACAAAGGCAAAGAGTTGTTGCCTCCTTCGACCACAAGAGGTCAGTGAAGCCTCAAATAAAGGCTTCTGGCAGGAATAAATAAAGTCAGACACTTAACACACAAGATGTAATGATGTTCACTCCAACACTACCAACAAACTGCTGCTTACAGTAACGTAATTGCCCTTAAATCAGTTAATTCAATCTCAGATTGTTCTAGTTTTTATCCCTGTTATCACATTTAAAAAAAAAATAAAGCCATGTTGACACAGCAGCTGGTCTACATTTTCATGAACATTTTTTTTAACCATTTTCCTGTCATTTAATAAACCAAACAGCTAATTGATAAAGTAATCAGCAATGAAAATAACTGCTAGTTGCTGGAGAAAGCTTGGACGTCGTCTGTCAGATGCACTGAAACACCAAACCTCCTGAGCCCCACTTCACCTTCTCATCATAATGACAATGTAAAATCGCTCTAAAATTTTGTAGTGATGGAAACTGTTTAGTTTTTTTAGTTATTACATGAACATCAGTAATAAGCAGCAACTCAGAAATCTATTGTGATGACAACAGTAAATGGGAAACATCTATTTCAGTTTTTAAACATTGTTACAGAGATATTTTACAAAAGCATTATTTAAACATTTTCAGATTTTTGTTTCAGAATTGGAGTCAATCAAAGCAGCTGAGTGGAGTCGCTGACCTTCCAGCCGAGATCACTGAAGCTGACGTACAGCTCGTGTTTCTTACAGGGTTGACCTCCGTTGTTTGCAGGACTCCGATCTGAAGAGAGAAAACATTTAATAAGATCAAGTTATGAAATGATTTACAGGATAAGATTAAAGCTATCAATATGTCAGACTGTACTTTGTATATTGCAAGTTTTACCACAATTATTATTATCATCTCTGCAATGTTGGATTCCCCATCATTTCATACAACATTATAAAAATCGATTATGAACATCTGCAAAATAAAAAGTTCTTCATTTTTAGTCGTCCTGATGCAGATTTACAAGCTGAACTGAACTGGACGCATCGTTTCCACACCTTAAGATGACCAATTTACCAGATAAATTCACTTTTAAAGCCACAAATTGAGTAAAGAACCAGAATAAACCAGAGTCTGTGCAGCCTTACTGTGGATGCTGGGCACCGGGAGGTCGTACTTGAGTTTCTTCTTGCGGGGATGAGGTTTGACGGCTCGCGGCGGCCGACAGGGAACCTGACTCTCCCTGAAGAAGGTCACCATGAAGGGCTGCTTGGAGCGAGGACCCCGACGACCCACCAGCCCGATCCAGCCGGCAGACAGGGAGCGGTCTGAGAGGGAGGTATGATTTTATATCACGTAAAAACGTAACTGAACTGACATCAGTGAACCACAAAACAGCAACAATATTGGCTTTTGTTTAGTTCAACTTCATCAGATTGTATGAATATACACCAGTGACTTAAATAACTCTGATCTCCAAGAGTTTTTAAGATTTTAAACTCCAATTTTTTAAACTCCAATCCACTTTAAACATGAACACAGGGGAGCCTTTGGTCATCTTTTGCTCCTGTTACATTTTTATTCACTGTAGGTTCATTTTTTTGCTGAAATATAAAGTCCTGCACCTCTATGGAAACAGAAAACCATGAAGAAGTAACTCAGAAGTGTGTTTCATGCAGTATGACATCGTTTTAATGCTGCAAATTATAAAAAAGAAAAACAAACGTGCCCACAGCTACTTTAGATATTTAACTGTTGACATTTTTACAGCCTCTATGTACTCCAGACATGTTTCACCGTGATGAATGTATCTTCCATCGACTCTTCTGTACGCTGTTTTCGAGCCAGGCTGCATTTATCTTACTGATTAAGTGTGTTTCATTTTCATCCCAATCTTTAATTTGTTCCCAGATTTGTCTCCTCTGGTTTGTATCAACATAAATTATGATAATAATTTGCTTTTCTGTTCCACTGAGGAGGAGATTTTATTTTTAAATATCAGAATGTGGTGCAAACGTTTATTTTTGTTAAACATTTTTAATTAGATGTGGAATTTTAAGCTTAGATTTGGTTGTTTTCCCCCCAGAGACTGGCACATGACACACACATAGTTGAAGCTGAACTTTATAATCTGATTAGTGCTTTTGTTTTTATAGTCTCTGGCCCTGACAAGTGATGTGATTCTGTTGATTTTCTTTAAAGATAACTCAGCTCTTGGACTTCAGAGGGTTAAAATGAATCGTTTGGTAATGGTTCTGTCTTGTTCCAGCGTTACACCCACCTTCCTCAGTCTCCACATACAGCCTGATTCCCAGGTTGCTGCGAGGGTGGAGCAGCCAGTGGTTGGAGGCCGAGGTGACGTCGAAGGCCAACCAGCCCTCCTGACCTGCAGGAACCGACTGCATGTCCAGCAGCACCAGCTCTGGTTCTCTGTGGGTCCACAGAACATAGAAAGAACAATTACCCAAAAGGCAAATTCTGTTCTAGGATGTTTGCAGGACAAACTGTGACATATTTACAAGATTTTTACAGCATATTATATTATGATGTTGTTGTGACATACTATCACACTGTACTACGAGTTTTTCACAACATACTATACTATGACTTTTTTATGACGTTATAGTATGACATTTTTATGACATACTATACTATGACGTTTTACGACAAACTATACTATGACTTTTTACAACATGCTATACTATGACCTTTTACGACGTTATAGTATGACATTTTTACGACACACTATACTATTACGTTTTACGACATGCTATACTATGACCTTTTTACGACATACTATACTATGACTTTGTGCGACATGCTATAGTGTGACATTTTTACGACATGCTATACTATGACGTTTTACGACATACTATACTATGACGTTTTACGATATGCTATACTATGACTTTTTACAACATGCTGAAGCTTATAGGGAATCCAAATGTTTTGGATTGTTGGACTGTCTCTGCCTTTGTTAAGCGCTATGAGATGACTTGTTGTTGTAAATATGTGCTATACAAATAAAATTGAATTGAATTTAATTGAATGCTATACGATGACCTTTTTACGACACACTATACTACTACGTTTTACGACATGCTATACTATGACTTTTTATGACATACTATACTATGACTTTTTACGACATGAAATGCTATCACTTTTTACGACATGCTATACTATGACGTTTTACGACGTCATAGTATGACTTTTTATGACATACTATACTATGATTTTTTATGACGTTATAGTATGACATTTTTACGACACACTATACTATTACGTTTCACGACATGCTATACTATTACTTTTTACGACATGCTATAGTATGACATTTTTACGACATGCTATACTATGACTTTTTATGACATGCTATAGTATGAGGTTTTTATGACATACTATACTATGACCTTTTTATGACATCTTATAGTATGACATTTTTACAACATGCTATACAATGACTTTTTATGACATGCTATACTTTTTTACGACATACTATATTATGACCTTTTTATGACATGCTATCGTATGACTTTTTACAACATGCTATACTATAACCTTTTTGTGACATACTATACTATGTCCTTTTTATGATATGTTATACCATGACTTTTTACGACATGCTATGGTAAATGGTAAATGGACTGCACTTATATAGCGCGTTTCTACCTTAGCGGCACTGAAAGCGATACGATGTTTTCTCATTCGACTCATCTCGACTTCGACTGTGGAGGTGCAGGGGATCGAACCTCCAACCTTACGATCAGAGAACAACCACTCTACCAATTGAGCCACAGCCGCCCTGCTATACTATGAACTTTTTATGACATGCTATCCCATGATGTTTTTACGACATGCTGTAGCATGACAACATACTATACTGTGACGCATTTATGACATACTATATTTTGACATTTTTGCAGACACTCTACAAAAACATTTTACTGACATCATAGGACAGCTATGACATTTTCAATGACAACAATATGTTTTTAATAACATAGTATAGTTGCGATGGTAACTGTTTAAAAAGTGTCTTACTATAGCGTCTTGTTATAGAAAAAAAAACAAGCTGTGTCTTAAAAAAACTTGAAGGCATTAATTATTTTGCACTGCATATTAAAAACTGGACTGTAAAGAAACATGAGATTGAGACCAAAATAAAAACCAATAACAGCAGCAGAGGAGACGAAAGGGAAATAAAGAGTGAGTTGGATCAAACCTGTGTCTGTTTTCTCGTTGGATCTCGTACACGGAGATATGCAGCGTTCGATTCGCCCTCTGGCCCATCGTCAGAGTCTTATAGATGCGAAACTCTGCCGCTGTGACGGTTTCACCCTGAGGAAGAGGAGTCAGGTCGAAGCGAAACTCCTTCCAGTAAGGACGAGGCTGCAGCAGGTCGCGCTCCTGCTCCACTGCAGACGGAAAACAGATTTCTGCTTGTTAGAGGAACATTTCAGAAAGAAAAGACAAGATAATCACGCAGTAAGACAGAACACATCGTGGAGGCCTTTCAGACCCTTTAGAGTAAAATTATGCATGATACATGATGCAAAAAATACAAATAACGTAAAGAGCAAACAAGCCACCTACTGAGCAGAGAACAGGATTACAATATACACTGTTAATTTGAATGTTAAAATTAAAAATACTTTTCTTAGGAAAAGAAATAACTGCAATTGACCTCCATGTGCGAGACTTAATCCACTGTTGATTATTTCATCAGTAATTAACTGTTTTATCCATGAAATGTCAGGAAATGGTCTTGTTTTGTCCACAACTCAGTCGTATTCAGTTTACTGTCATAGAGGATGATAAGTTCACTTTTATAAGGCAGGAATCAGATAATTAGTTGGTGGTTAATTTAATATTTAACAACTGATCGATTCATCGTATCTGCAGCTCTGCAGCAAAGCACAGATCGTTTCTTGGAAGGTAAAAGGCAACAACATGAGCTGACTGAAATCTGCTGGGAAAATTCTAGTTTAAAGCAGATGTTAGAGGAGAAAATGTGTCGACGCAACGGTGAAAAGCCAAGACGAGGATCAGCAGAGTGAAGGTGAGAAGAGACGAGAGGAAACGAGTGAATGAAAGGTCACAAGGAGACGAGAACAGAGCTGGAGGAAGTTTTACTAAACTGCAGTTTTAGTTTTCATTTTAAAGTTCTTGTACTTGCTTATAAAGCTTTTAACAGCATCACTCCCCCGTACAGAGACATTCTCCTTCATAAGTTCCAGTCAGATCATTCAGATCCTCCTCTGCTTTTCTTCAAATGTGTTCTTTAAGAGTATTATTGAGGCCAAATCCTGCTTTTGAAACCTGTTGTCTCTCAACATTAGACAGATAAACACTCTTGACATTTAAAAAAAGGAAGAAATATCTTTTTAATCTGGTTCTAATGTTTGACCTGAATGCTGTAATTTAGTATTCAGCTTTTCAACAAGTTCATTTCAATTTCAATATATTTTCACTAAGTTTTTAGGAATCAAATGTTTTGTAAATCAGCTTGTGAGTGAAATATGAAAACAGCCCTGAAATAACCTTCAGAATATAAACAGGAATAAAGCGAGATGGAGGTTTCAGAGTAAAGAAAACAGCCATATTGTAAAATGACGAGCTTTTTAAAAATAGTATTCCCCAATAAACTTCTCCAGTTGTTTGAATTCTCTCATTAAATTACACTAATTTGCATAAATGTCCAATTAACAAAGTGCAGTAAAATAAACACCGAAATGTGTATTTTGAACGTTTTTGTTCCACTAGTGTGGAGGAAAATATCTTATAAAAGCAAATTATCAGCTGATTGGTTCATGACAAAACAACATTTTGCTTTTAGTGAAGCCACACACAGTGCTGGTGAGAAATTAAAACTACTTCAGGTCTAAAAACACACAAACAGGCTTCATCACCACAAAAACAAACATCTGAAGTTAACAGAGACCAACAAGAGATGAAAACATCACACAGCTGCTCACAGTGAAGCGACACAGCAAACACACAACTGGAAACAACGAGAGGAAGAACAATGAAAGACACACAAAGTGCAGATTATTTGTCTGTTTAGCAGCAAAACGTGTTGTAGGTTTGTGTAGAACTTTGTCTGCTTTGTTTCTGTGAGCTGTTGGTGAGCTCCAGGTGTGCAGGGAGGCAGCTACACTGTAAAAAGTATCTGTAATTTTACTCTATTTTTTTTCCTTTTGTTTTTTTTAGATTTTAATTTATCAGTAAAACAAACAAACCAACAAAAAACTAGACATAATGTTATGTAACGTAAAGTAAAAAGAGTGAAATTAAAGATAATCTACAAAATCACAGAGACAAAGTCATAATATAACAATATTTTTTGAGTTTTTGAAACTGTTAAATTACTGATGCTGCTTGTTTTGTTAAACTACAGAAAATATCCAGAAAAACTACAGAGAAAAAGTAGAAGACTGTCTTGTTTTAAACACATGAGCTGTGGTTAGAGGTCATTAAGCATCACAGAAGTCTTTGTTATGGTACCCGGTGCTCGCTAAACTTCCACAATGCTCTCTGCTTTCCTACATAGTCCGAGTGACGCCTCCTCTTGTCTCTACAGTATTAAACAGTAAGAGGCTCCACCTGGTGGAACAACCAGGTACTACAACACATGTTCCGACATGTATGTAGAGAAAACAGGTTTTCTCTGTCTTTTGGAGCTTGTGAAGCTGCAGTACATTCTAACACAACATTTCAAATTTACTAGAGCTTTACAACAAGGTTCATGACCAGCTACGCAACATTAACATACACTGGATTGATTTTAGTAACTTACATGAGGTGTGTTTTAGCAACGAAAGCAGTATCACACTCTGAGCTTCACACTCTTGGGGGCAAAAAACTTGATCAGGTTGGTTTTTTTTCAAACTTTATAAAACTACACACCTTTTAGAAGCTGGGAACCACAGTTTTGACAGATATTCTCATGAAACTTGCCTGATTGATTACTTACAATAACACAGTACATTTTTTTTGCATTACAAGTTTCCTGAAATTGCTAACTCTGATCGGATCGGGGCAAAAAAACTGAACAAGAAAACCCCAAACTCAAAAAACAAAAAACAAAAAGACTGCGACAAGACGTCTCAAGCTTCCTGTTTAAGAACAAAATGTAAACGCAGAGGCGAACACACACCTCCACCGCCAAATCCAAACCGAAGCAGCGCGTATGTGTCCTGGTGAAACCCTGCACGGACACGAAGCAACTCCGGTCGATGGGGTTTGGCAACGTGCTCACATGCAAACGACCAGAGTTTGAATTCACGGTAAATAGAGATACTAAGGACAGGACACCCCCGATGGGCTGGGCTCATATCAGCACACACACTGTGCAGTAATTAGAGACACTTAGTGCCCTGAACCACAGCAGCTGCTCAGCACACACACCACTAATTGCAGGCCTGCCCGGTATTTTTAGAGCTGCTCCTCCACAGCAGTATTTTCATCTCGCTTCGGACCGTTTGCTTTTTTTTCACTGTGTGTCAGTGGGGCCTTTAATTCCAACCAGCTGTGTCTTCCCATTACATATGCGTAGGAACACACACCCTCCGATGTTTGATTCAACTCACATGAACCAACACACAGATCAGTTATTGAAGCTGAAATATATCTGCAGCCGACACTCAAAACATACAAGCAACATGTGGCCCGCTATGATTCTGAGGCCGTGTGACGCGTTTAGCTGCACTTTCATGCACGTTTGATGAGGTTTTAAGGGCTTTGGCTTCAAATGAAATTTCAAAAGAGAACCGTGTCGTGCACTCCGGGTCACTATTAAAGCCGTGAGTCACCTTTGTTTACTGAGTCGTGGTGGTTTCTGCAGGATGAGATGCTGTGTTGCTGCAGTGTTGACTGATAAATTTCAGGGTGCATTTTCTTTTTCCATAACAGAGCCGAGTTACGTAAAGGAAACCCTTCATTTGGAGCATTAAAGACCCCAAGCAAGAGGGAGCAGACGATGTTTCCCACGCCGAGCTGGCTGCACATCGCCGGCCGAAACCCGGAGAAGCAGGAGGAAGGAAGTCAGAGAGAGGAGGATGTTTAAAGTTGGTGTTCTGACGGACAGATAGGCATCAGTCTGTGTGGATCTGATGGAGGCGCAAATGACCACACAGAGTCTGATGTTGTGCTGTCCTGATAAACTGATAAATTGTGTGGCTTAAAAAATGTCAGAAATTGCTCATTAGAAAGGTTCCAGAGGCTGAGAGGATGGCTTCAAACAGCAACAACCTCTTACAGTGTTAAAAATAAAATAAAATAAAAATAAATCCCATTAAAAAAACTGTAAAAATCTGTCAGAAAAGGTGCCAGAAAATGCTGGAGTACTGTAACATTTGTAAACTGTAAAAAGAAAGTGAAAATAACAGCAAATATCTGTTTAAATTATGATTTTCTCTCTCTCTTGCTTATTTAAATACTACAAATCTGTCATTTAATGCTCACATTTGTAAAAGAACTAATTACTTTTGTAAAAATACACTTTTTAAAAAAACATTATTTACAGTTATTTTACTTTAAAGACAACATGTAAACTAATACTTTTTCCTGTGATTTTACTAGTTCTAATCTGTTATCTAACAAAACATGGATCTGTTTTGGAACTATCAAAAAAAGATTTACCATTTTCTAGTCTTCAGTATATTTTTTCTTTCAAAATCCAACAAATATCTGTAATATAATGATATTTTCTATTACTTTAAATACAGTAAAAATAGCGTACACTTACAGTTAAACATTGTAAAACATGAATTATCCTATTTAAAAATACTGAATTTTGATGTGGACATTATTTATGATGTTTATTTTTTATGGTTATCATGTAAATAATATGAATGTTATTCGCTATTTAGCTTTAATTGAACAAAACAGGAAAGATGCTAAAGTCAAAAACAGTTTAAAAACATTCATTTTTTTACCTTGTTGGCTGAAAAATGAAGCCAACGTGAAAAAGTTCCTCTAATGTCCACTTGAGGCTCTAAAAGCAAAATAAATCTTCGTGGACTTCTATGTTAAAATGTTCAACTTTACAGCAAAACTAATCTTGTTTACAGCCTGATATCAAAAACAGTTTTGGTCTGTACAGCTGATTTCCCTGTTTGGGACGCTGTATGAGGAGTAGAGTTCAATAAAAACTCACTTGTTTAAATGATGAAGTTCTGCATAATGAAGGACAGATGGGTTCCATCAGTAGGACCGCTCATGGCCTCAGCTCCGCTCAGCTCCACCTCCTGCCTCATTTGTGGATTATTGGGGAGCATAGCCTCGATTACAGGCTCCCGCAGACACCCACTGTTCTTATTGAACTACTTTTCTACTCTCCACATGAAGGATTCTGATGCAAACGTGCAGCAGGTCGTACCTACATGTTATGCACACACACACCACTGCTGAGCATGAGCAGCATTTTCAGAAATGTGTTCTGCATGTGGGTTTGTAGGAATTCATGCAGAATTCATGCAGACATTTTACTGAAACATGAATTTCACATTTTACATTTTACTACAGACATTTGGTCAACATTTTACTAAACTAATGTCTCAGGGAAGTGGAAGGTATAACAGTGACGTTCGGTGGAGTCGGGCACTGTGAGGACGAGCTTCAAAACTGCTGTTCGGGAACCTGCAGTTCAAGTCATGAGCTGTTCATCCACCTTTATGTACAGTCAATGTGTTGGACAAACGATTCTGTTCTCTATTAGCTTAAATCTCTTCACTTGATCAGTGAACAAGCGGAAACTGTTTCCTAATCAACCCCCGTCCTTCATCGAACACGGTAAAAAGATCCTCTCGGCGCTGGGACGATTTTCTGCAGCAGCAGCAGCGGACTGAGGCTGCTGGATGCAGGAATGCTGAGCAGAAATGGAAACGCACCAATATAGTTCATACTGACAGCGGCTTCAATCCTCCAAGAGTTTGTGGAAATTTGCACAGCGGAGAACAAACTAAAAATGTTGGTAGCACCAACATGTCACTGACAGTGTCATCAAGTCCGCACACGGTGTAATTTCATCCCTCTGAGTTTACAGTTTGTAGCCAAACCACCGAGTCGAAACCCGACGGTAAAAATGTTCTCTAATTAAGGCTAAAGGACATTCTGGGGGAAAACGCTGACATGCTTTCTTACTGGACGTTAAATGAGAAGATTGATACCGTCCTCGCAGCTGCACAGAGAACATGTAGCCCGGCGGCATCTGAAGGTAATAAAATCAAGTTAACGGCGACTCTAAAGATCAGTAATTAGCACGTTATATGTTGTTTGTTTAAAGATGGTTTAGGCAGTTGATTTGGCATCATTGTGCAAAAACTTCACGGTAATTTCTCAGTGTATAATTCAAGTGTCCTGAAAAGAAACTGACTTCTGCGCTTCTTCCTGCCTCCATGTTCAGGCTTTAGAGACTCGATCTACAAAGCCACTCATCAGGTACTTATAATGCAGTTCTGAAATCCTTGCTCAGCTTCACCACCATTCACACCTTGAGGCAGGTAAGTCTTGAGCTGTTAGCCGTGTGAGTTTGGAGCTGAAAATAAACACTTAGAACTCCCCAGCAGTCTTCTAGAACTGGGGAAGTTTACTGGATAAGATTTAAAATGTTTTCAAGAGTCCAGTTGCTTTGCAAAATGGTCTCTCACCTGATTTCCTCGTCTTCTCAAAATACCAAACTGTTTCTCTAAGTTGGTAAACTGTGATATCCTTGCATGCTTTTATTTACATTTTTTCTCCTGAACAAAGTGCGTCTTTATGCCGATGATACAGTTTTGTACTTCAGCGTGGAAATCATACATATCATCCTCTGTTAAACTCATCCAGCGCTGCATTGCCAAGTTACATGCTTCACTCAACAACCACAAATAAGCTCTAATGCAGGCAAAACTAAATTTATGACTCACTAAATTCACCAGAACCAAAAATACTGACCATACGAATCTTGTCATCTCTGTTACGAGCAGCACAAACGAGCAGTCACAGAAGTCAAATGTTTTGTTTTTTGGATCACATTTGAATATCGTGTGACTGAATTGGTGAAACAAATTTAGACAAAAATGTGGTTTCTTTGACAGGAATAAATCATATTTCCCCACAGGAGATTGAGGCAAATCTTCTATCACTGTTGGATTATGATGTCATATAAGCCCTTGGACACTATTTAGGACTCTGCCTTAGGATTTATCACTGATGATAGAACACTCATCACTGTGAGCTGTGTTTATTTACTTCATTCATGTCTTCTGGATTTACTTTGCAGTTCTTGGCTGTTTTTTTTGTTTTGTTTAGTAAATCCAGTTTTACTCACTGTGCACCTGCAGCCTGGAAAAAAAACTGCAGAATAATCTAAAGCTTCAAGAGTCAAGAGTTCAAGATTCATACCTTTTTTTTTCCATTTTATTTTTTTTTTAATGTCACAACATGCTATATAGTGAAATGCAAAGTGACTGTTCCACAAGGCTGTGCAATAACAAAAGGAATATTCATGTTCTATGTTAAACACTCAGTTTTATCTTTAGGACAACTGACGTTTCTAATTAGTGTTTTTTTTTTATTATTATTTCATGAACTTTGCCTTTAGTATTTTAATCATTATTGTCATTTAAGTTTCTTATTTGTGTTCCTGTCATTAAGCTTTTACTGCTCACATGAACTTCTACTACTACGGATCATCAACCCATCAACAGTTCATCTTCTGAACCTCAAACACTTTGATTTTTTAGAGTTATAATATAGTTATAATGTCATAAATCATTAAAAGAAAAAAATAGAATCCACGTACAAGAAACGTTTTTAAGTGACCACAGGGGCCAGTATTCAAAAAAACCAGTTTAACATTTACTATTTTAATTTGCAGTCATACTTGCTTCCTCTCTGCTCTGCGTAAACACAAAGCCTGCAGTTCAACCCAAAGCTCACGAGGTCTTGTCACGTGACTGTTGGTCGCAGCTGAGTCACGAGTGACTTCCTGGTTGTACCGAGGAGCAGATGTTTGTGTTTTGTATGGAATCTGTTCAGTACAAATGCTCTATTTGTAAATGGTAAGTAGAATTAGTAGAAAGCTGTTCGATAAAACCAGAAGTCACACATTAGTTTAAGGACAATCGGAAAGTTAGAAATCAGTTTTTACAGTTTCTCGCTGACGACTGCTATCACTGTTCTGACTCACCCAGGTTGACGAAGCTCATCACGGTGTCGGCCTCGCTCACCACCGTCCCCAGCGGCGGCGTGTGCGTGCTGAGTGTCGGCAGGGCAGCGTGGTTCACCTGAGTCGCCCCTCCGAACTTCCCCACGCCGGGTCCGTTCACAATGATCTCATTGCCCTCGTCCTCACCATCGGCCGACATGGCGTGGTAAAGGTCCAGCATGAAGAGCGGCGCAGAGGAGGGCGGCCTCAGTGGCGGGTGAGGCCTGGGTCGCCCCGGCAGGCCCAGGATGCTCAGGATCTCCTTCTGCATCTCCTTCTTCTCACGTCCGCTCAGCCTCCGGAAGCTGGAGTGGACAACGGCCTCGGCCTGCTGGCTCCACAGGGGCAGGTAGAGCAGCAGCAGCAGGGGCAGCAGCAGCACCGTCCGGGGGTGGAGGCTGGAGCTGGACCGGCTCTGCTGCTGGCTCGTCTTACTGCACAGGCAGGACACACCGCAGGAGGCCATGAGTCCTCCTATCTGCTGGAAAATCAAAGCTTTTATAGCCACAAATAATCTACTTTGGGTTATTACTCCTCCACTGCTCCCAGTCTGACCAGCACAGCGCCGCCTCCTCGCTCCAGTTTGACCGTTTCAGACAAATACAGCTGATTTATGCCTGATGTGTTTAGAGTCCCGCTGTGTTTACCGCCTTAAACTGCCTCTGTTTATCTCTCCCTCCCTCCTCGCCTTCCTCTCCACCTTCTCTAATCCAGAAGAAGAAGAAAAACCCTGCTCTCATCCACTCGGGCTTCACCTCTCAGTGGTGCAGCAGCAGAAACAGAGATAATGAGAGTGAGAGCATAATTACAAGCTGTTTTTCTGCTGTGTTTTGAATATAGACAAACACTGTGGATGATTGCTGCCGGCTTTGAAGCTGCAGGATGGAAACCAATTTCAGTGATGAGCAGGTGGTGCTGGAGTGAAATCTGAGCGTCGTGTCATCAGGTTTGCTCCGAGTTTTCCTTCACGGCACGAAGAAAGTAAGTTGTTCACACCTGCAGTGAGTCAGACCTCCGGAGGATCCTCGGCTGGAAGCTTTTATCCCGTCATCCTGGAGCTCTCATTCATCCATTCAGAGCTGCTGCCGCCCACACGTCTCCGGGGCTCCAGATGTCTTAATCCAATTTATGAAACTGTTTCCTGATTGTAACTCGGCTGAGGTTTGTCCTTCAGCTCAGTTCGAGCTGCTCTGACTGCATGAAGCCTTCGGCAGTTGTTCGTAACCAGCAGGGAGTTTCCCTCCAGCCTCTCCTCCTCTTTCAAGTCTTGAAGCTCACATCTCATCAGCCGAGTCCCTCCCAGTGGTCTCTTTGGGAGACCTCATCGCTCTCTCTCCTCCTGACCTCCACCCATCTATCTTTTCATCCTCTCATGACTGCTTCCTTTCATTGCAGCTCGACATCGAGTGGCCCGATGCCCCGTTTAATGGTAGGAACTCGACTCACAAGCCGTGCGAGCAGGGCTTTTCCTGCACAGGAATTTCTGGCAGCTTCTAGGAGATTTTAGGCAGCACTGAAGGAAAGTCGCCAACGTTAGAGTGATAAGAATTTAGAATGAAACCAGTTTTGTTAATGGGGGTCACGTTCACTAAAGTTCAGCAGATGTTTGTTTGTCAAACGGTCAGAAATATGAACACTGATTTATTGGCTTTACTGATCAATGAACGCCGTGTTAGTGAAAGGTTACCACACAACCAAAAACATGATCATGCTGCTCTAAACAAATCACATGTAGTGCAGAAAGAACAAAAAACCAACACTTTAGTTTATCATCTAAACATCTGCAATGAAAAACGAGAATTGTTGCACCGACTTAAATACCTCACACAGTGGCACACAGCTGGATTAAGGTTATTCAGATGAAGTTAACAGGAAACATTAATGGTTTGAGTTAGATCAACATAAATCACTTGGTTCCTCTCAAATAAGCATTTATGCAACTGTCTTTTAAGAAAAGTCAACATAAAGTTTCCTAACTTGAGCATTCACTCTGCCCAAATGTAAAACACATTTTTTCATTTGACTTATGATTCTTTTTTTAGTTTTTATCTGTAATTCTTCTCCAAGACAAAACACAGAAGACGCACAACCCGGAAGGACTTGTGAACCAAACTTTAGCACTTTTACAAAAATTTTTAAATACTAGTTTGTACGTCATGTCCAAGTGTTGATAGAATCCACAATGATTTACACTTCGGCAGCTCACTTTTCACTTTATGTGGTCAGAAATGACAGATACATTTATAAATTATTATTATTAGTAGTATTAATAAGAACAATAATAAGAAGAAAACAGATGAAAGATCAAGTTACTTTTGTTCTTCTCTGTTTCTTGGCGGTTGGCATCAAGAAACTTGTCTTGCGTGTTTAAATATTTTGCTGTTAACTTTATTAAAGGTAACTTTATTATCAATATTATTTTACTGTTGCACATAATGATTGTTGATGAGACAGAATAATAGAGCTGCAAAGCAAAAACAGCACAGAGACCCTCAAATAATCTTATAAATCACATTTCCAGTCAAACTCAAGTCTTATTAAGAGAAGCTAAACTCTTTTAAAATCTTTTCCACCACCAGTAATGTTATTATTAATATTATTATTATCATCATGTAAGTAACTGATTTATCACTGATTTACTAATTTATCACTGATAATTGTTTGCTAGCAGTAACGTTAGCTAAAGCTTTTAACTTCTTGGCAAGCTAATGCTAAGAAAGTTAGCTAGTTAGTGATACTGAAAAGTTTATTTAACTACAAAATGCCATTAAAAAAACCCAAAACAAAACAAACAGCTAATTTACTGAAGACAAAAGTGTGCACTTCTAATTAGCATTAGCAAGCTAACTTTGTCTGCTGGCTAACCGGACACCTGCATGGAAGCTGTTTTATTTCCAGGTTGTTAGTAATCAAGACCAGGGGCCATAAATTGCAAACTACTTTTAAAAATGTTATTGTTTGTAAACCCTTGTTTATAAATCACAAATCAATTATGTATCTTGTCTCAACTTCATATCATCCAAAATTTCTTTAAAAAATGAATTTGTCTGATAGCATTTTGCTACTTTTCTGTCAGTTTCAGATGCGTGAATATTTTTTTCCCCCTAACGTTCCTAATTTTATAGCCTGTCTCTGGTCACATATCATCTCCAATAGTTACATATTTATAATGATTGATTTATACTATAACTTGTATGATTTTTCCCCCCTGTGAAAGCAATCCCTTCCTCTGCAGCTCAAGCACACCACCTCACCTACAACTCTACTCAAACACTGTAAACCTTCTCCACACTACAAAATGGCAAGTTGTCTAATCCTGTAAGTCCAATCCTACAAGTTGATAGAATTAGTTCTTTGGTTTGTGAAGGATAAAACCCTGGAAATCTGAATCTACGGTTGGAAATATTGAAGGTAAAAAACTTGTTTAAAACCCTGAAATCGCCACGTTTACCGCTTCGACTTCAGTTTGCCGCTGAACCAAAACTCTATACTTGACCTCCAACATGACTCTGCCTCCAGCTCACATGAAACACTTTTTGCAGAACCTTTGAACACTTGTCGTGTGAAGCTGCGGATTCATATTGAGCCATTCATTAGCTGCGTGCCCTGCAGCACGACTAATGCAAACACACTGTGTGCATGTGTCTGGACCAGAAGGACCTGGAGGGAAGAAGTGACTCAAATATAGTAGTGAGGTTCAGCCCAGTGCCAGCTCGTGTTTGTGTACTCTCGGCTTCAAAGCGTCCTGGTACTTGTGGTCACTTTGAAAGGCATGAATAACGCTGACCAAACCAAACTGACCGCGGTTCATTCTGTCCTGGCCGAAAGGGCGAGTCCCAAATGCCAGGAATTAACGCTCTGCCCATTTTGTTTTTCTTTTCTCTGCACATCTGCAACTTTAAGGTTTTCTTTTTTATTTTCTGGATTGAGATAAAGGGGAGAGGAGTGAGAGAAGATGAAGAGGAGGAGGTGAAAGAACAGGGAGTGAGGTAGAAGCCGAGTGCCCTTGAAACCATATAAACCCAACTGAAATGAGAAATGACATTCCTGCGAGACAGAAGTGGTGGAACAGAGCGGGACTGTCACTGGATGACAGATGGGCTGCAGAGATGGATGGAGAGTGGACAGAAAATGAGAGGAGAGAGTGTGAGTGTACACACAGCTGCAGAGGGAGGACCTCATCATGTCCGGTGGAGCCGCCGAATAAACAGGACAAAGTTATTTTCAAATGCTCCGACACAAACTGGAGGAGCAGCTTAAAGTGACAAACGCACAAGTTCAAATTATTAAATCGGCCCTCCATCGCCTCCCTCTTCCCGGTGTTTACCTCCTGGCAGAGCTCGGCAGTGAAGATCCAGCCGGGTGTGTCTTTATCTCGACAGGATAATTACCCAGAAATGTCCGGTCTCTGAGTCTGTGGTCGGCTGTCAGGCGTGAGTGAATGAAGGCACGCACGGAAAAGGAAACGATTAAACCATCATTAAAAAATACAAGATTACAAAATGCCCAACGTAGAAAAGCTCGTGTCCTAAACTGATTACAACACTAAAACCACGTAAGAATGAAAAAATATGTAGAAAAAATGTATGAATATGCACCTAAAAATAAGATGAAGACGTCTCATGGATGCACATGAATGCACAGCAAAAGAGGAGGAAGCAATTAAGCTTCTAATAGGAAATAAAAGATCATCCGAATTAGAAACAGAATCATGAGCAAAAAACCTAAATAACGCTAAAAACATAAAAACAAAATAAAAATATAGAACAAAAACTTTGATAAATATATTTTAAAAACTCATGTAGGCCCAGAAGAGAAAAGCAAAAAATAATTAAGCTCATTTTACGATCTTACGAAGTAATGAGCAACAACTCACAGCTCTGAAAAACATTGTAACGGCAAAAAATATGGAAGAAAGTTGCATAAATATAAACATGAAAAACCCCAAAAATAAGAGAAAAGGGGAAATAATGAATCTCATTTAGAGGCTTTCCTATTCATCTATTTCAAAAAACAAATGAATAAGAAAGTAAAAATCTCAGTCAAAAACTAATAACAAAGAAAAAAAACATAAAAATGTAAAAAATATATCAAAGTGTACACATAAAAATAAAATTACCACAATTAATGTTGACACACATGAACACACACAACAGAGATGTTAAACAATTAATCTAATTTAGCATCAAAAAATAAAAAATATCCTGAAGAAAGTCAGAAGCAAGAACTGAGCATGTTCACATTCCATGTCAGAAACTGACTACAGCACTAAATAACAAAAATACAAATATAGATTAGAAACCTGAATAAATATGCGCTGAAAGCTAAATTTACTCAAAGAAAATGCAACAAATGCCAGTTGCTGCTGATACAAAAACCTGTCACACGACTTACGTTGGTACATGAGTGCAAACCTGAGACAAAAGGGACATAATTCAGCTCATGTCGCGCCTCATGTTAAAAAAATATCCTAAAACCAAAAAGTATCAAAGCCAGATGAGTATCATGAGCCAGAACTGAGTATGTGATCTATCCATGTCACACACACACACACACACAGAAAGTTAAATACACATCACAAACATGCACACAAAAGTAAAGTTTAGGCACAAAAGCGTACGTTTCTGCTACTTGTTGCTGCTAAAAACAGTCACTCAGAGCCATAAAACATATCATTCTAATCGTAAAAATAAAGATGTAAATGTAAGAAAGTGACCAAGAAAAGAAGCCACAAAAACATAAACACTTACTCACAACGCTGCATCTACGGCAGCGCTGTGTTTGCATGTGTGGTCATTTAACCTTAAACGGCCAAAACATGAAAATAAGAACATTTATGAGAAAATCACGACTCCAAGAGGAAAAAAACACGTGAATGGAGACATAAAAATCCCACATTTACTCATCGAATCATCCAAACAATCTGATATTATTGTAGAAAATGTCAGAAAGTAGGAAGTTCACGTTGACTCTTACAGATGGGACGCTTATCTGTCGTGTTGTCGTCTGTTTGAGCTCTCCTCTTCGTATAAACACGCAGCAGACAGATGATCACAAATCAAACTCCGCCGAACACAAAAACCCCAAAACCAAATGAATCAAAGACGAGAGAAAGTTTTACTGCAAGCATATTTTTAATACAAAAACAGAACAAAAAAATTGTTTATAATTTTAGTTTTTTTTTTCTTTTTTTCATTTTACTTTTACACAAGTGACTCGTGGTGACGCCTCCCTCCCTCCCTCCATCATCACACAGCATCAGAAGGTGGCGACTCGTCTCCTGCGCCCGAATCCCCCCTCAGAGACAATAAATAAATAAAAATCACCTTAAGATGTCTTCTTTCTTACTGTAATGTCATTAGTTTTCATAAACTTCATCTCTTACACTGAGATAACACAGAGACAACTCGGCCCCGCCAGCGACGGGACATTTGAAAAAAAGCCTAGAAGAAGAGACGCCGGGGAAGAAGACCCACTCTGATTGGTCCGCTCCGCCCAGCCCTCCTGTCATTCATATTTGTAGTTCTCTGTCTACACATGAAGGGCAAACCCCTTTGGTCGTGGTCAGGAAATCGTAGTCATTAGCATTAAAGAAACTTTAACAAACAAGGCGACCTAGTGAATAATGTCATGTTACAATGGAGTAGAAACACACGTTTACACACAGATCATGTCAAAAAAGAGCGGAGTGGAAATCTTCTCGGTACAAAAATCACAATTTCTTTAACCATAATACTAAATCACTCTCTGCTGAACGGTGATATGACATGAAAATAAATAGATCTTTCTTTCAAAGCTAGAAAACAAAAACTGGATTATAAATTAACCAGAAAACAACGAGAAGAAAAAAAACAAAAAAAACAAAAATGACATTCGCAAATTAAAGTTTTGCATACAGTGACTCAAGTCAATGACCTCTATTGTTTCCTGTAACAAAGACACACACGATACACACCACAGTGTGTCATAGAGAGAGTGTGTGTGTGTGTGTGCGCTGCTGGGTTGCTAGGGGCAACACAGTAGGTTAAGGTGGAGCTGCAGACAGTTAGTGCATGCTGGTTGTCGAGCTCTGCGGACGCTAACATCAGGTTACACGTGTCGTATATTGTCAGTAATGTGCTGTTAGTTGAGTGTGTCGCCGTAAAAATAGTCCTGTCTATTGCCAGTTTGTGATGTTTGTGTGTCGGATTGTTACGCCGGCATGTGACGAAACCACACCGCCCTTCGCTGAAATGCACACAGGAGGCCGATCTTGGCGTTCCGGCGGTCGGAGGAGTCTGCTGCGGTGTTTCAGTGTGTGAGTGTTTGTCCGCCGCCGCCGCCGCCGCCGGTCCTCTGCAGCGTCTCCACACGCTGCCTCTGGAGATGTTTCTGTCCGGGAGAAGCGACATGGCAGTCGTTGCATATTTTCTTTTTTAACTCATCGCTGAGGCATCTGGCCCACAAGCCAAAATAAAAACCCACAATTCTTTTTTTTTTCTTTTTTTTTCCTGAATGTTGTTTGAGCTTCTTCGTTTCTGTGTTTTTGCAGCCGTGGTGGTGGCGTGTCCCGCTCCCTGCTCCGCCTGCTGGGTTTAAAGTGTGTGTTTGTGTGGTATAAAGCAGTTTAAAGACTGTCGGATCAGGACAGAAGAGTGAAGTAAGGCAGCATCACGTCGAGGCGGTCGCTGTTCGGAGCAGGAGGCTGGAAGGCAAACTGGGGTCACTTCTTAAAGGGGGAACGTCGTCGCCGACCCCGAAGACTCAACTCTTCTCCTCTTGTGCAGGTTCTCAGTCGGTTCAGGAGATCAGGGAAAGACTGAGAAGGAGATTTGCTCGGCTTCTCCTTCTTTCCCTGTTAAATATCAGTCATAGTGCACAGATTCAGTACGAGCCCTATGGATGGAGGTTCAGGTCGGAGGTGTCGCTGCTGCTCCGGCTCCTCTGCTGGGTTTATTTCTTGGCCGACCCCGGGGTCTTCGGGCTGGGGGCCTTCTTGGAGATGGTGGGGATCTTGGAGGGCTTGGCCCCTCCGCCCGGCCGTCTCGGGGTGTCCGAGGTGTCCGAGCAGACCGAGCGGGCGTCCTGCAGCTCCGAGGCGTCCGAGGCGTCGCTGCCCCGCCGGCTGCTGGCCCTGCTGCCGGCTCGGCTGCCGGCTCGGCTGGTCGGACCGCTGGCTGTGGACGCCGCTCGCTTTGGATCTGAAGGAAAAGTAAAAACAAAAACACGTGAATGGAAAATATAAAAAGTGTCCATCAACCCTTCTAACTACCAAATGAATCTGACATTAATGACAAAGCGGCTCCTCCTGGGTCTGGAAAAACCTTCAAAAACACTGAAGCTTCATCGTCTGTCTCACTGGAAGAGTTCAAAGCTCTGATTAATGTGCAACTGAAAAGAGCAACTGCTGCTCCTGAGATGGATTTTATTTTGTGTTCTAATGTGTTTTACTGTTTATCGTTTGTTACTTGTGTCATGTTCGATGTAATTATCAGTAATGTTATAAAGGTGTGACGTCTTGGCAGGTCTCTCTTGAAGACGGGATCTCCTGGTTACATAAAGGTTAAATAAAAATAATGAACAAAATGTCAGTTTTTAGATGCTGGAAACAGAATTTTGTTACTTTTGCTTGTAAAGAAAAACTTAGATAATTAATTATCAAAATATTTACACATTAATTAACGTCACTCGTTTTGTATCTGAAAATAATGTAAAAAGGTTAAAGGATGTAAAATATTTCACAGTCTGTGGCCGAGACTGACGTATTGATGGCGCACACGAGTATTGTTTTAATTATCGTATGAATCTCTTTACCCACACCTCAGTGCAGCTCGAGCACACCAGCTCACCTACAACGCTACTTAAACACTGTAAAACTCCTCTATGCTACAGAAGTTATCATGTCGGAGTAACTCAGCCACAAATGTTCGAACCAGAAGCGGAATTTGAAAAATAATGTTGCAGAAAACTGGTTCTTTAAGTTGCTAAGTCTGAAACTGTGTAAATCTGAATCTGTGTTTTTATCATCGGTATGATACAGTTTCAAAGTGAAGACACTCAGCCTTAATAATGACTGTTTATGTTGCTCATGATCATAGACTGTATAAAAGATGGACGTAGCAACCGGCCCTGAAAAATGAAGCCAACCCGGAAGTGTCAAAAACCTGCAGTATCACTATGGCTGCTAGTCCTGGCTCCAAAAAGCCCTGGCTCCCATAGAAATGAATTGGAAAAGAAGTGATCACAGATCATGAAATACTGCATTCCTACAGCTCAGGATTTTTTTCTAATTAGTTTTCATAGTTAAATCCAGAGATCAGGTGGCCAATCTGAAAATAAATCAATACTGAATTTTAAAAAATCGTCAACATTTTGTGGGGCAAGGGGTGTAGCTGGCTTGATTGACAGTGGGCAGCGAGGATGCGGACGAAGTGAGCAGAAGGCGGTAAATGTGGGCGGGCAGAGAGGGTCCGCCTCTCAATCCGTCTGACCAATCGCTGCTCCTACGGCTCCGCCCCCCCCCGACAATTTTTGCGTCACTGGCTCCAAAAATCCAAGATGTCAACCAGGAAGTAGCAAAACCCTGGCTTCATTTTCTCAGTGCAGAAACCAACGGGTGACGTCACGGCAGCTACGTCCATCTGTTATACAGTCTATGCTCATGATGCGTCTTCCAGCAACAGAAAAACACCAACACTGACGTGTTAACAAGGTGGAAAAACTGAATTTGTGACAGTATCGGCTTGTTGACGTGAGCATTTAGCTCGAAGCATAAATCACAGCCTCCCAGAGCTGCACACCGTCATGGTAAACGAGATAATTGGCTGATTTAAAAACATATTTTACATCCACTAATGAACAAAATGTCCGTCTCACCAGTCCGTGATGGTTTGCTGGTGTGTGTCGTTCCTCCGTTCTCTCCGGTCAGCGAGCCTCGACTCGAGTGGAAGGTCGGCCGCTTTAGCTTGGAGCCGGACGCTGCCCCCTGCAGGAGCAAACAGGAAACGTCAGCCGAGGGCCACGCCACCGTTACTGACCGCTGTGTCATGGTGGACCAACGCTGAGTTTAACGCTACGGAAACACACTGAACTCCTCAACAAACAAACAGCACATTCACATGAAAACATAGAGATCTACACACAAATACTCAACAGCAAATGGATACTAAACACACACAGAGACATTTTTACACACAAATATCCACAAATTCTGAATGCTACCATTAAATAGTTAAAGGTTTGTGCTAGACGCTAGTCGCTTCATAGAAACTACATACATATATAAAACTATAATCATGCTACAGGTTGCTTTTCAGGACTGATTGACCCTTTGAACTCCAAAAACTGCCGGCAGGTTCAAAAAATGTTTTTACAAAGTCACCAAAATGGCACCATTTATTGGAGCCAGAAACTGTTAAGACAGAGAGAATTATCGGATTATGAACTTGACAAGAGAAAAAAAACCTCTCAGAAACTGTTTTTGGTTCAGAGGGTTAATCTGCTGATCATTATTCTTGATTGTTTGCTCTATAAAATATTGAAAAACGCTTCTGACTATTTCTAAAGCCAAGAGAAACCCCATAAGATTGCTTATTTTTTATCCAATCAAGAGTCTAAAACCCAAATATAATTAGTTTACTGTCACGTAAGGCAACGACAAACAGCAAACCAAATGACAGTTAGTTTTCTGCTGGAGGCTACGTCCGCATTTTACGTACTGAAAAAAATATTGGAAAATATAACTAAACTTTAATTTCAGATTTCCCGACAATATTTTTTCCTTTCTAGTCAAAGCTGCTCCACATGCATCACTAGTGTCATTAATATGCTGTTAATTATATGTTGTCTAATTTAAACATCTTGAAAATGTCCTCTCACACCGCGGCTGCACTGAACGTAAAACATAGACTCACTGTTCGTAGAGTGGACGTGATGTGGGATGTATTTTCTACTGTCTACACATGCAGCTCACGTAAAGTTTGAGGCTGAAGCGAAAACAAGACTTTGATTGTTGCGTCTTTAGTTTGGTATCAAGCACAATGCCATGAAACACTGAGTTTTTCATCAGACTACTGTGGACCGGGGCATCAAGGAAATCAGCAACCGTCATCTGGTACTGGCTAATAAATGACAACGGTTTGATCAAGACGCTGAAGCGGAGGCCCTGTTTGATACCAAGAAGTCGTTTTCTGTAAACTGCAAAACGTACAGCCTAGAAATGTCCTAAACTGATATGAAGAATAGAGTTAAGGGCATTTTTAACTTCTCAAACATCGACTCTTTCCTAAGTCCGATTCTTTGTTTACGTGCGGCATCACGAACATGCCTGAGTAAGAAAGATTAAGTTGCATCTGGACGCTTTATTTAAAACACAACAGCTCTGGTCGGAGGCCATTAAGCGTCACAGAAGTCTTGGTCCCTGTTGCTCGCTAAACCCCTCACAATGCCCTCTGCTTGCCACCACAGAACTCTCAGTCGCCTGAATAGTTCCAGTATTTAACAGTCAGAGGCTCCACCTGGAGGGACAACCAGGTACTACAGCTAATCCACAACACATTTTCTGACATGTATGTAGAGAATACAGGATTTTGCCCTCTTTTGCAGCTCATGGAACAGCCGCACGAATGCAGTTTACTTCTTAATGAATTGAGAAGCTATTAGTTTGTCAAGTATATGTATAGTGGCTTAATATTACTACCTTTAATGCACTTGAAGTGTGTATTATCAAGGGAAATGGTATCAGATTAGGACTCTGTAACAGCAAGCACTAAATATTAAATTACTTGGATTGGACTGGGGGCAGAAAAACCTTGTTAGGACAATTAATTCAATACAGACACTTCCTGACAAATTTCTGAAGATAAGACAGGCAAAGCACTGGTGTAGCACTTCTGTTGGTTATAGTGAAAGTGCAGAGATGTTTCACAATCGGTCCGCATACGCTGTAGTGTTCAGTGCAGCCGCGAGGTCAGAGTTCACCACATCATGTCTATTCCCATCTTTCACCACTAAATCTTCACATAGCAGCAGCAGTTTTGTACCGTGGCGGCGTGCAGCACCCAGGAGTGTGCGTTAGTGCATTAGCGCGCTCAGTGGGGTGGGGGTGGGTGGGACGGGGGGAGGTGGCTGGGTGGGTGGTGGTCGGGGTGAGTGTGTTACCTCGTGCCCAGGAGTGGCGAGGCTGTGACCGAGATCTGGGCAGCAGTGGCACTTGGTTGGCGTTGGAGTTTTACTGTGTGCCAGCCAGGGCTTGGCATAGTCACGTGAGTGAGTATGGGAGGACTGAAGGGAGGAAGGGAAGGAATGAAGGGAGGGAAGGAAGGAAGGAAGGAAGGAGGAAGGGAGGGAGGAAAAGACGGAGGAGAGCAAAGCAGCGAAGGGAGGAAGCAAATGAAGAGAGGATGAGGGGGTGAGTTATGGAGGGAGGGGAGGAGCCGTTGGACAGCGAGGGAGGGCAGCGCAGTTCATTGTTGTATGAAAGCCGATTATTTCATTTTTTTTTTTTAACATTGAACCCAACACAGCGGGAAGGAGAATTTTTTTTTTTTTTAAAGCAGGTTAGCAGGGTGGAATGACAGGAACGAGGGGAAAAGGCAAAAAGATGAAAGAAAATACAAAGAACAAAAAAAAAAACAAAAATCACAGTTAAGGATGTGGTGATTCCTGACAATAACAACAGGAGGATGACAACAAATGAACAATGTGCAACAGAAACCATAAAAATACAAACGTGCCAACAGTCTCTCACACGTACACACATGTACAGAATCAACATGGACAGTGATGCTTTTACACAATATTCACGTGACAAACAGTAGCATCGGATGACCACAGCAACAAAAACAAACAACAGACTTTGACTGTTTGTCCCGATAATGACGATGCTTCTGTTACAACATTAATGAATGTGAGAGTTTGTACGATTTGTCTTTCACCACATTGTCCTGCGTTTTAAATTTCTGTGTGAACACAAGGGAACTTCAAGTCTCACAAATACAGCTGCTGATAAACTGAAGATAAATGTCAAACTCAAGTACAGGTAATTCCATCTCAAACTGCTCGACCATCTTGGATTTGCTTGAATTTTTCTCATCATAAACAGTGGATGTTTAGATGCTTCCTGTGCAATTTTAGACTGATACATCAAATACCTTCCGAGATACACATTTTAAAAAACAAACAGCTTATCAGCTCACTGTTTAAGCAGGATTTTGACATTTTAAGGCTGTTTGAACAACAATTTCTTGGAAACTGTTAAAGGTAAAAGCCTGAAATTCTCATCTTTCTCATCATGTTGTTGATTCAGAATTTGCAATATTGGAGTTGAAATATGTAAAAAATGGTGAAGCCATCGTTATTTAATATTGCAGATTCTGAATCAATGACATGACAAGAAATAACCGTGAACATTTCAGGCTTTTATCTTTAATAGTTCCAGATATTGTCGTTCAAACAGCCTCAAATTTTAAAAAACGTGCTAAAAGTGGGCTGATGGATAATAAAGAAAAAATGTCTCACCCTGAAATTTCACAGATATCTTTATAAATATCAATACTTTTTGCTATAAAAGTTTCAGGCCAATCAGAGATGTTCAGGCAGAAAATTGTTCTGAAAATGTGCTGGTCTGAGATGGAATAACCCAAAATTGTCCTTAATAAAGTGCAAGGTCACTGTGCTTTGACTCACACTGTGTTTCTAAACCTGCTCTGTCATTAATGTCTTGTAATGAGTTGACATAAAGCAAAAAGAACAACGTGACTGCATGAGATGACAACTCTACGCTTTCCCTGTTATGTCATTAAATCGAGCTGCAACTCACCCTGGATGAAGCTGAGGCCGTCGGGGTGGCGGGGGCAGAGGGAGCAGAGGGCAGAGAGGCGCCGCTGTGGGAGGCCGAGGACGAGGATCGGGTCGGGGAGGCGTTCCGAGAGCCGGGCTTGGAGCGGCGGCCTCGGGATCGGAAGGCAGCCAGACCCTGAGAGGCTCCTTCAGGAAGGATGAACTTCTCCCGGAGCTCCAGGTTGGTGCGACCGCGAGCTGCAGACAGAGACGGACAGAGAAAACGGCAAATATTAGTTTGTGCGCTGGCGTCAGCTCACAGACTTCCTCCAGCGGGGGGCAGCAGAGGCAGCGAGCAGAGTGAGGGAGAGAGTCAGTGCTTCCTTGGCTGCAGACATCAGAGTCGGTGCAGGTTTCGTTTGAAAGTGCACGTGAGCAGAGCGAGCGTTTGGAGGGTTCGGGGTATATTAAGGGCACTTTGGATGAGTCAGTTTTCAGGGGAGACGTGAGTGAAGGTGTGTTCGAGTGCAGAGGTAGGAGGGAAATAATTCATCTGATACGCAACGAAAGCCAGCAGGTTGTGTGTGGACACAGTCTGGAGACACGCTGTCATTAAGTTTGAACACATTTGATTATTTCATCAACAGCTTTAAACAGCCGTAACAGCAAGATGTCATTTAGATCTTTAAAGGAATAGTGGAAATAAACTTATTGGTTTTTCTGCTGAGAATTAAAACTCAGTCACAGTTTAGTCCAGCAGCACAACTTCTTCACTTCAGATTTTGTATGTAAATGAGAACTAATGAGTGTTTGTGCTGCCAGCAGACATGAAACTGACACTGATTGCTGCTTGTAATTCTCAGTCAGAGAGCAAATAAGTGCGATTTCCACACTGTCGAGCTATTCCTTCAACCTGTATGAGGTGTCTCCGGGTTTGACGTGAAAAATGTCAGTTCACTGAGTGACACACACTTTCATTGCGTATTTGCTGTAAAACGTCTGAGAGCGCTGGGAGCAAAGCACAGCCTCTCTTCTCTTTCAACAAGCTCTCACATTTTCAAGTTTAAAGTTTATTTTTTAACTTTTTGCTGCGAAGGAGCATCTCAGCTCTGCTGTGTATACACACTATGTGTATAAATATAAGTGGGGTCATGCCTGGTTTATGCTTAGCGGGAGAGAGCCCAGAGATTCAGGGTTTCTCCCTTCTTCAAAAGACACTCAGCAGCATTCTTGGACAGAAAGTAGTGCAGCAGCCCCAGCAGACAACAACAAGCCTGGAGAAGCCAGCCACAGAGAGAGTGGAGAGACTGAGAGAACAAAAGACACACAAAGAGAGAAAATACAGACTCAGAGAATGGAAGAAAAATGGGATGAGAGGAAACAGAGTGGAAGAGAAGAGGGAGGCTGCAGCTAGCTGTAGCAGCAGCGCAGCCCTCGGCCTCACGGCCATCGTCCCTAGCAACCCAACAGCCGGGCCAGTCAATTAAACGGGTGCACCCTGCAATTACGTCCCCCCTCAAAGCCAGCCAGCCAGGTGCACCCTGTAATTGTGTCTCCCACCAACCAGCCATCACATTTAAAGGAGCCGCGTTGGAAGCCAGCATTAATAGAAACCCAGGCTGGCCACGCCCAGGTCTTACACACTGTCTGCTGCTCTTATTGGCTAAAACATGTTCAAGAGCTTTCACTTTTTGGTGTGGATGGTTAAAACTGAAAACAGAAGAGACAAAAAGAAGTGCTCTATCTTTACTCATTAATCACTGTGAACAATATACGTTGGCCAGTGACATGTTAACTATTTTAGATTAACCCTCTGAACCCCAAAACCTGCTAGCCACTTTGAAAGGCATGTTATCTTAAAAAAGAAAAATAAAATGCTAAAGTCACACTATTTATCAGATGCAGAAACCATAAAAACAGACATATTCACCAGATTTTTAAAAAAATCTTTCTTATGTCTGACTTTTGGTTTTACTTTAAGAGTTAACCAAACATAAGGTTCAAATTGTGGTATTTCACCAAAGTCACTTTATTCTACTTGTCTCAGTTAAAAACAAACCAAAAATAAACCATATCTTCTCATCAGATTCTGTAAAAATCTAAAAATTCTGTGTTCCTCATTGCAAATGTAAAGCATTGAGTAACTCTGCTGTAACTAACAGTCACATGACAAAACTTCTGCAGGCTGTGTTAACACAGAGCAGAGAGAGAAGGCAAGTATGGAAACACATTAAAAATGCAAGTAAGTAATAACATACTTAGAATTTGTGGAGCCACCGTTTCTTCCAGTATTGGTGACACTTGTGGGCAAATATTGTACATGTTGACTGAGTTTTTTAAATTTGTGTAAAAGAAATATTTCAAAAATTCCACTTTGTTTTTTTATTTAAAAAAAGAGGTGCAGGACTTTTATTTGAATAAAAAATGAACCTGCAGTGAGAAAAAATGCGACAGGTGCAAAAGAAAAAGAAATGCCCAGAAACTGCTCGGGGTTCAGAGGATCAAGTGCTACAACTTTTCTCTGGTTTTTGGTTTGTGCTGTGCATCTCTATCATGTATTATTTATCGATTCAAATTTCAGCTATGCCATATTCATTTTGTCATAATTGGTGTGTTTTAAAGAAACAAGCACTGAAATAAGAGGTAAATTCTAAAGACCAGGGGTTGGCCAAATCCTGCTTTTGTTGTGAGTGAGGAAAGCATGACGCAAACATGTGGCACACAGACAAGACCGACATCGATGCCTATACGCACGAACCTGAACACACTTCTAAACAGTGTACACACATATATAGACACACAGAGGACAGCTGTGGTTAGAGATGGAGACTGACGGATGGACGGATGGATGGAGAGTGACAGAGATGGAGAGATGAGAGACAGAGAGGAAGTGTAGATACCTCGGCAGCAGAAATAGCCAGGAGTGACTGTCACTAAGAGACACAAGAGACAAAATAACTGCATGCTCGTGGTGGGATGAAGAAAGTCTCACACACACACACACACATATATAAAGATATCTTGGAAACATCTTGTAACACAAACACACAATCTCTGGAGTTAATCAGACTGTCAAAAACCACCACAGACGAAACACACAGAGAGTCGTGGAGGCCCTGAAACGGGTTTAAAAACGGGAACACATCAGGATTTCAGAGCTTGCGTGAGCAGCCAAAGGGAGGATCAGGAGAGGAAGAGCAGGACAGTGGGGGAGACATAACGTTAGTCAGGTGATCACAGTCAGCAAGGCACAGTAACAAGGCCAAACCAACAAACCAGAGAAGAAGAAGAAGGAGAAGAAGAAGAAGTGGAGGAACAAGAGAGAACAAGAAAACCTGGAGGAGAGAGTCCAGGAGAAAGCAAAGACAGAAAAACAGAGCAGAACAAAGTGGACGGAGGAGAGACGGGCAGTTAGGAAGAAAGCGTGAGAGATAGAGGAGAAGTCCAACCTATACGAGATGAGATGGAGCTACTGGAATCGGAGCGAAGAATCTTAAGTCCTGGATGTTGCACTGGGGAAAGAGAAGAAGGGAGGGAGAAAGAGAGGGAGGAGGAGGAGAGAACTGAGGACCATGCACCATGCAATACTACTGCTTTAATAAAGACAGAATGAACAGAGACAGAACACAGAAATAAAAGGAGGATGAGCTCCTCGGAGGGTCGACAGAGAAATGGAGATGGAGAGAGGAACACCTGCTCCGAGGAGCACAACAAATACACCGACGTCACTGCAGGGAAAAGTGAGACGGTGAATCACTGCGTCACCTGCCGACAGACAATTTGACAAACGTGAGTCGATTCAGATGCTGCGTTTCCTTCAGTGAGCTCTGAGTGCTGTCAGATGGTGCAAATACCCAACGTCAAGAGGCATCACTGGAGGTTTGTTTGCTTTTGTAAAGAGCAACATGAGAGTGTTTGTGTGAGAGCGAGAACCTGACCGATATCAACACGACACCAACATGGAGCCACATTCACTCTAAAGAGAACTGTTCACTGAAAAGGTTCGTCAGCAACTATTCACATCAAGTCAAGTCAGTTTGATTCATAAACAGCAAGAGTTGAACCAAAGTGCAGTGAAAAATAACTGCACATATATTCATTTGATTACTTGTTCCCAAACATCAGGATGACATTCTCAAATATAGTTTTTGTCCACAACTCAAAGACATTAAGTTTATGGTGAAAGAGCAAGAAAGAAAGCAGAAAATATTCAAACTTAAGAAGCTGAAATGTGAGAATTTTGACTTGAATTCCTCAAACTGACCGATCAGTTATCAACAACAATTGTGGCTGAATAATTGAATTGTATACAACTGACTGATTACTCATTGCAATCACTGATTAATCATTTTTCAGGTTTCTGCATCTTTGACCCGGCAGTTTTAACATCCAGTTCATTGTCCACATGGATAAATGTCACATCATTTTAAGTTGTAAGGTTCTTTTTTTGGGTCATTCCATCTAATCATCTTCTGCACAATCATCTTTGATTTACTTTAAACTTCTTTTCTTTCATAAACTGTGGATATTTGAAAAGGTATCAGTAAAATTTTAGGTTAAATTATTACTTATATACTTATAAATATAAAATAAGTACTTTCCAAGATAATTTAAAAACAAATCCTGTTGACTTACTTTCAGCGTGTTTTTTCACACTTCAAAATATGTGGCGGATTTGAAGACAATATCTCAGTAAATATTAAAGATAAACGCCTGAAATTTTTACTATTTCTCATCCTGTCCTTGATTCACAATCTGCAAAACAGAACAAGTACATCAAATGGCCTCTGATTATGACTCGGCTAAAATATTAAGAAAAGCTGAAGCTATCCTCTTTGTGCACAAATTATCAAAACAACTTAGAATGTAGAAGTCAACAAGCGATATACATGTTTTTAACCATATGCAGTTGTAATGCAGTTTAGGAGGTTTAGTGGCCATTACAGCTGATTCATGTGTTTACAGAACGTCCAGGGAGCGTTCCAAGTGTTGCCGGAGCACTGGGAGCAGTGCATCGCTGCACAACAGTGGGTTGGTAATACAACTGATTTTGGCTGATATAGCTCCAAGTATCGGTCAGGCTCTAGCGAGTGCATGTGATTGACACAGTGTGAGACAGAGAAGGAGAGAGCAGACATCAATATGCTGGTGTGTGACCGTCGCTCACCTCTGCATGGATCATTCTTCACCAGAAACTCGTCTAGAGCCATCCAGCCTCCTCCGACTCTCACCATCACCGTGCTGCGCAAAATCCTCACCAGACGAAGCTGCTGAGAGTCGCCGAACTGAGGAGGTTTAAAAAAAAAAAAAAAAAAAGGAGGGAGGACGGGGCAAAGAGCAATGAGGAGAAAGGAGGGCGAGAGAAAAGAGAATCGGAAAAGGAAGGGTAGAAAGTCAGTGAGTAAAACTACGCAGAGGTTCAAATGATTCACAACCATCACACCGAGAAGCCCGTTACCCACATCTGAGCAGATGATCTTTTCTACTCCATGCAATGACAGAAAAACCATGCACTGAATTCAAGAGATTATCAGCCCAGTTGATACCCAGCCGCTTAAATCAAGGCATTATCATCACACTAGAAATCATTCATACACTGTAAAAAAAAAAAAAAGTGGAAACAGTAAAAATCTTGCAAAAAAACCACAGTGAGGCTCAAAAACACTGAAAAAAAATAAAGTGTGAAAGAAGAAAATACAATTCATGAAAAATACAGATATTTCATGTGAATGTTCTGGTCCATGTTTTTATGATTAACTACTAAATAAAACTTTTTTCTGTGGTTTTTACTACTTATTATCTAACTACTTATCTATTAACAAAACTGGGAAAATCTAAATTAACAGTAAATGGTTAAAGAAATTACCGTTAAAAACTGTATATATATATATATTTTTTTTACAGTGTATGTTTCTATTCAATCTTTAAAGTTTTCAAACATATTCAGTTTTTCAAACCACGCAGCAAAGCAAAGATCTCGAAGCAATACCAGCACAGAAGGAATTGTCTGTATTTCTCTCCAAGCAGCTTGATTTGCTCCCAGCTTCAGTCCAAAGCAGACTATATATCACCGAACCACTAATTACCACTGCAGCCATGTCGCTGTCGCCTGCTTCACATTGTGCAATTTGTCACTCTCAACACCAAACAAATCACGGCAGGAACACAACTGGACGGTGAAACCTGTTTACACGTTGCAAAGCCACGACGGAGTGCTGCTTCTGCTGAGTTTCTCTTTTGTAGAATTACAATTTAATTCTTCTGAATAATTGCATTAAAGGTGTTGTTTTGTACGTGAGAGAAAGCGGAAGGTGGAGCACTCCTTTGGCGGCGAACGGGGAAGCAGATTTCACTCGTCCGTTCACAGCAGAGTCAGTCACTTTACCTGGTTTCCGAGGAAGAACTACAATAAATCCAGCAGACACGGAGCAGAGGAACACAAGGAGAAAGAAACAGAGCAAGAGTGAAACAACACGTACTGACATCTGAATGTATGAAAGGAAACCATTTATTTTTGTCTTCTCGAACTAAACACAATTAGTGGTGAAAGCAGGGAGACGCAGTGGATGTGAATGACGTCAAAGTGAGTTTAAAAACTGCTGCTGTTGAAGGTGGAGACAGAAGCAGTGAGGAAAAGTGCAGCCAGACACAAAACGACAAACAGGACAGACGACCAGTGTGACTATTAGTATCTCCAGTGTCCTGCAGTCTGACACTGGATCTCATTACCCAGCGGATAATGACGGACTGGACAGTGGTAGTGATGGTGATCCAGTAAATGCTGCTGAAAACGGTTAAAACTGAGTTAATGGCTGCTGTAGAATGCTGCACAGATACACACAGGCTGCTGGGGAAGCTGCTAGAATCGCTGTAGCTTCTAAAATAGCTTCAGAATGAAGGCCTGAACCCTCCTGGAGCTGGTTTTTTTTTTTGCTGTTTTTGATCAACACTTTTTCGTGGCATTGTGCTAAACAATTTAGCACCTTCCTAAACAGACACAAAGAAACTGAGAAACATTAACCTCTTGTTAGTCTGTTTTTGGTTTCTTTAGGTTTGCAAAGTCCAAATATTTTTCTTTACAAATGCAGCAACGATGCAGCTTCGGGTCAGGAGCCCTGTGGAGGTTGCAAAGAGATTTCCAGAAATCGAATCAAATTTAAAAACGTATTTTAGCTGTAATTGTTACAAAACAAAACAAAATCTGAAAGTCTGCTGATCGGAAATGCTGAATGTTTACTCAGAACTACACGTCAAACATGAAGATTACTGACTAAATACATGTTTACTCTCTGAATTTTCCAGTTGGATGGAATTTTAATTATTTATCTGGGGGCATGATATTAATGAGTACCCTTGTAATTCATCACATAAGGGTTTGGATTACTTTTGTTGCAATGGACTCATTATTTAAGTTGAGTTATTGCTTGTTTTTTACATGCTATATAAACAACCTATATTAATACTACTTGCCTGCAGTATATCAATAATAACACAAACTAATATTTTAGACTGTTGTGTTGTTTTGTTTGGATAGACCTATTAGAGTGTGTGTAACTGTGTTTGTATGCCTGACCTGTTTTTTTGGGGATCAAAGGGCTACAAATCCTGCCTTACTTGTATTCAGAAATGATAAATAACAGTAACGAAAACATTAATGAAAAGCTAAATGTGTTCCTCAGTCAGGACTCTAGTTATAGCTCTTTCTCGTATGAATTGGCGATTTTCCAATAAAATGCCTTCACTTGAATTAAGTAAAGTTTATTTCTTAAATCAAGATTATCTATCTTAAACAAAGAACACCTCAGCTTTACAAATATATGAAATGTCAAATTAGCCTTGTTTCTTCTAAAATACAACTCAAAACAGGATAATTTCAAGATTGTTTGACTTAACAAGATATTTAAGATGCAGTGTCTTCAAACAAGTCCCTCTATCTTGCTGAAATGTTACTTGTTAGGTGAATTTATCTCAAATCAAGTGGGATGAGACATTTTGACTAAAAACAAGATTAATAAACTTGGTAAGATTTTGAGTTTTTGCAGTGTAGGACTAAAAAGCAACTTTATTTCATTCAAAACTCGATAAACTTAACGATATGTGAGCGAATCAACTTGAATTCTGCCTCCTTCCTGCCCAGAACCCTACTGTGTATCTGTGCCGTCACATTTACAGCGATTTATTAATGCTGTGGTGATGACAAAGAAGACAATCCTGGAGCGCTGTGAGATGTTAAAAACACGTTATATTAATGTTACTGTGACGTGTTATGAGACTATGATACAGGCGATTTAAACACTTATAAATACACCATGAAACCATGATGTGTGAGACACACACACACACACACACAAGTGAGAAATGCTGTGAAGTTATGTGGAGAAGTTAATGAAGTGCAGCCAGTAATGAATAAAACACTTTCTATTAATCAGAACTGGGTCAAACAGCATTCACAAGAAATTCTTGGCAGAGAGTCAGATGCTTTCACCTCCTTTTAATGTGGTTCAGGTTCATTAATTACGAGAGATGGAACATGTAATCGCACTCCAGCTCCTAATTGAGCACAGTTTTGATAATAACCTTTGATAAACATGAAACTAGGTGCTGTCAACCTGAATTAGGACTTTGGTGCAAATTTGAACTTCAGTTTTTCGTTAATGCTTCTTTAAGTTGCACGAACGCTGAGACAGACTTGATACTGTTGGCTAGAGGAAACATTTAAAACTATTTAACATTTCTTGTAAATCCCCTTTGACCCAGCTCTTCTAACAATTACATATATTAATGAAAACATAATAAATACGTAACTGTAAATTATTCTATAAATGCTGTGTATTTCATTGAACCAGAAACGTAGCTGAACTTACCCGGTACTTGTTCTCTCCTATCTGCTCCACCTGGAACCTCTTGGCACATTTACACTGAGCCACCTGCCGAGTGACCTGCACAGCCACGGATGAGATACACATTAACGAATGCCATCTTTGCTTGTTTATGTGTGGAAGTTAAACCAGTAAAGTTCTGTAGATGTGCCATACCTCATCCTCGATCTTGTCAGCGTCAGTGGTCGGTCTGTAGGCGTCCTTGTTGGGGTGCAGAGCAGCAACAAACTCGTAGTAGTCGATGTAACCGTCTCCGTCTCTGTCAAAGATGTCCGCCACAGCCGTCATCTCCAGCTTACTAGTTGGGAACTCTGCACAGGTGAACAAAACAGGAATTCATGTTATTTAGTGTCTTAAAGCAAATTATGTCCCACTGCAAACCAAAGAGAAAGCTAAGCATCGTACTGGAGGCCAAGATGCCGTCGATGAACTCCTGCCGCGTGATCTTTCCATCTTGGTCCTTGTCGATGCGTCTGAAGAAATCCATGACGCGAGACTTCTTGTGGTTCATCCAGCGCATGTACTTCTTCCTCCACACGTCAAAGTCGAAGTTGGCAAACTCCTTGAGCTAAAAATGGAAGGAAGCGGGTTACTTTTCATGCCGTAGTTATGTAAAACTGTACAGGACACGCATGAGGGATGATCAGAAAGTTCTGGGACTGTTTGCGGTGCGGGTGAACGGAGTGCGTCGTGGTCATGCACGTGCAACATGTGGGAGCAGCAACTGTCAGGAGACCACATGATGCTGTAATATCAACATCAGGACCTGTGTTGTACATGTTTTCATGACCACTGGTAGGTGCACATTTGTGATATCTCTGTGGACTTCAAATTCAGCAGAGAGGAGACATCACACTGTGTGTCAGTCAGCAGCTGGATGATCCAACTTTCATGTAGAGCCATCACTGTGACCAAAGGTGGGTCTGCAGCTACCACCAAAATAAGCAACAACAGTTTTCACAGGGAAAGAGTCCAAAGTTTCCAAAACTGGAGAAGACCCATCAGGTCAGTAGCATAAGGAGCATGCTCGCTGCAAACCTGGTGAATCAATATCCTAGATTTGGATTGTCAAGGCGGAGTTTTGCTGTAACATCCTGAGGCATCTGGGAGAAAATTTGGTGAAATGACCTAAAATGTGGCGGAATGACATATATGTTCACCAATGTGCACCCTGTCATGACTTTTTAAGCCACAACAACATGTCCCCTTCTTGTTAAATTTGGTTTCTTTCTTCTCACAAAAATGAAATTGAAGTTGAGGGGTCAAAGTTTTGCAGATGGTGCTTGGCTTGTTTAGATACTGGGACTTCCAGGGAGTATTATGAGTGTTGCAGGAGCACTGGGAGCAGAGTATCGTTGAATAAAGACACTACTTTGACAGGGATGTCAGCAAAATTTGGTGTTTTGTTTGATTTTTATAGGCGCAGTCCCAGAACTTTTTACCATGACTATCAAATTATAATGCCAATTAAGCAAGAATGTAAATTAAATGTAGAAATGTATCAGAATTCCACTGTAATGTTTCTCCACATGTACAATTATGAAGGCTACCTCTTCCAACCGGTCCAGAGCGTCGTTGAGCTTACGCTGGCGGTCGAGAGCCAGCAGCCACACCTGCTGCCACCTGGCACAGAGCTGGTTGAGTCGAGGGTTTCCTCCAGAAACCTGCATGGCTGCCTGCTGCTGCTGCTGTTGTTGTTGTTGCTGGTGTTTGCCTGAAGAGGACACAGAAAGTTAACTGTACATTTTTTCCACATGCACTTAGGCCATCATCATAGACTGGGAGGTAATAATATTTGTTCTCTACGAGGTAAACACAGGTGACTTACGAGCTCCTCTCCTCTCAGCCAGGCTGCTGGGAGGCTCGGCTGGTTTTCTTTTGTAGGTTTTTGTGACTTTGTCGACGTCCGGCTGCTTCCTCGTCATCTCCTCCATAAACATCTGAGAACAACAAACGCCAACAGTGAGTAACTCAACGGATCAAACACACTCAGTTCAGGAGGGTTGATTCCACATTAAAATGGTAAATAATGTGTCTGGAAGTTCAGTGACTCACAAACAACTGGGAGACCCACCTGGTGCTCTGTGATCAGTGTCTTGAGTTGTGGGATGTCCTGAGGAAGCGGCTCAGTGTCTCTTTGGACCAATGTGGTCTCAGCCCACTGTAGCCATGACAACAGCTCCTCCAGCAGGTTGGCATTGTTCAGCACTTCGGTCAGAGCCGTCTCCAGGCGCTGCTCGTGCTGTTTGGCCCAAGTCAGCACCTGTACAGCAAAGATATTCATTAATATGAGGAATTTCTGTTGCTTGACATCCTTAGTTAAATAAAGGCAGACAGGAGGTTATTGATTTCAGGTCTGTATACTTGGCCTCAATAACAAAGAAAAATTTTAAAAAGACTATGCTAAATTGTTGAGTTTGGTAAATTTTTCAGAATTATAAAAAAGTAGAACCCCCTCCTCCCCCCCAAAACAAAACAAAAACCAAGCAATATTCATAACAGTGTGGTGTTTTCATGAAGTTTACTCTGTTCCTCACCTCCTCAAAGCGCGCCCTGATGATGGTGATCCAGTGTTTGATGGTGGTGATGGAGTCAGCGTGACACATGGTCAGGATGCCCTCTCCCATGCCAGCAGCCTTGTTCACGTCGGCCCTCTTCTCCTCCACGGTGCCCATGAAGTCTCGATGTGTGTGCAGCAGCGCCTGCAGAGTCTCCGCCTCTTCAGGAAGGACACCGCGGAAACGGAGCGTCTGCTCTGCCTCCGACAGCCACTCCAGGAGCACCTGCACCGCCGTACGAAACTCCTCCGCCTGACGGACAGAAAAGAGTTGAAGAGAAGAAATGGTGAGGTCTTTAAGAATGTCTGATGCAATTTCTAGGATTAAATATGCAATGAAATACACCATAAAGTTTAAATTAGTCAAGCAGCTTCCTCCCTGACCTGCTTGAGGGCCTGCTGGAGGCGGGTCTGCTTGGTGACTGACAGGGCGCACACTGTGTCCCAGCGGTTGCTGAGCTCCTGAAGCTGAACTTTGACCCACGCAGTGTCGTCGCGGCCGGTCTCCATCAGCTCCCGAGCCGAACGCTTCAGAGCCTGAACGCTGCTGGTTCTCTTTCCCAGTTCTTTTTGGAAAGCCTGCAAGCGTAGGCAACAGTCAGTCATATGAAACACTAGAACACACTGCGAGTATGAGTGAAAGCACCAGCTATTAACCGCTTATGCAGCTCAGGTTGGAAAGGCAAAACTACTTATGGCGAGCCTTTGAATTGGAAAAGGTAAGCTAAGCTTAAAATTGTCATATTTCATCAAAATTACTGCCAAAAGTAACACATTTAGTCCAACCAGATTCTGTAAAAAATTAAAAAATGACGTGTTCCACAGCACAACTGAGACGTCATGAGTGACTTGGCTGTGACCAACAGTCACTTCAGAAAAATTCAGATGAACTTCAGGTTTTGTTTTTCCATAGCAGATAGGAGACAATCATGGAAACAAATTACAGTGATTTGAGAGAAAATAAAACCTGCTTTAGCAATAAAAATAAATGCAGCATGGTTCAATAATGCTATACAGAGGAGCAGGTTGTCAACAAGTGGGTTGAAAGATACAGTCAGCACTGTGAAATATCTTTATGGTGTTCAGAGTAGTGTGAAAAATGCAGAGTTTGTAGAGGTTGTAAAGATGTAAATTGTAAAATATCTAATCTACGTAGAGCCACCACTTTTTCCAGTGTTGGTACCACTTGTAGGCACTTGGAAAAATGTTGTAAATGTTGATACAAGGTTTTTATTTTTGTAAAATAAATGATCAAATTCAATTTACATTTTCCATTTTTTATGATTTATGACATTCTAACTGTGTCAAGTTGCACAAAAGATGCTTCTGACAGGAGCATAAAACGCCCATAGAAACTGGTTATCACACTGTACACACCTTATGTGAGTCCATGAGGTTGGACACCAGATCCAGGTCTCCATGGACTGGCTGGTCTTCTGCCAGCTGAGGCTCCACTCTGTACAACCAGTCCACCAAAGCCTGAAGAGCTTCAGCAAACTGGCCTGAAAACAGCAGAGCCTCCTCCAGCTTGTGTTGTCTGGATGGAGGAGAGAAGACAACAGCTGTTAATTATCAGGTTTTACTCATTATGATAATTCAGACCTGTAGTGAAAAGCTAAATAAACCAGTTTCTTCACCTCTCCACGCTCTTGCCGCAGACGGTGTCCCACTTGTCTCGAACTTCTCCAACCAGATGATCCAGTTTCTGGGTGTCTGCAGGCAGCTGAGCTTTGTCCCTCATGGCCTTCCCAGACCTCACCGTGGTGTCGTAAACAGGCTGCTTTGATCCCAGCGCCTTCTGAAACTCCTGCACAAGAAAACACAACAATAGAAATTAGAGCTGCTGAAATGCACAGATGTGATGGTTTGATGCTGCTTTTCTGTCTCATTGCCTCTGGTACCTTGTGCTTGGCCAGTTGTACTTTGATCTTGTCTGGCTCATTGGAGATCTCCAGCTCTGAGTCCAGTCTTTTCTCAGCTTCTTCCAGCCAGTCGGTCAACTTCCTCCAGGCCTCGTGGAACTAAAGAAAGAGTTGTTTTATATTTTAACCTTTCAGCTAGAAGAGTCTAATCTGGAGTAAATTGTTAGCAGTCTTGATCCAAAACCATTTATGATTGGAAAATAAGTGTTGCATCTTAAATGTATTTATGACATATTATTGTATATCTTTAAAGGTGCTACTAACCTGAAACCAAGAAAGAAAGGTCTAAAGCGATATTCCTCAAACAGTTTTGTATTAAAAGTAACCTTAAATAGTCCTCATGCTGTCAGTGTAATCACAATAAGACCTTCAGTACCTGTTTGGCTCGTTTGCGGGCCTCGTCCAGATGTCGGCCTCGGTCCAGGGACCTCTGGACCAGCTTGTCCCAGCGGGCCTGAACGCTGAGCAGCAGATTCTTGATGAGTACCACGTCCTGCTTCAGGCTGGCGAAGCGAAGCTGAGAGCCGGCCTTCTCCAGAGCCAGGACCTGCTCTCTGTGGGTGTTCACCTCGTTCACAAACACCTGGACGGACACAGAAGACAGGTGAGTTAGGAAACTGAAATTGAGGAGATCATGAGCCAATATCTGACCTGTTAAACAGAGTAAAACAGACATTTAAACAAGGCTTCTTAGCTACCTTGTGCTCGTCAATCTGGAAGAGGACAGTGTCCAGTATGAGGCTGGGGGGCTGAGCCATGTTCAGGGTCTGTTCAGCCTGCGTTAGCCAGTTGATGGTGTCCTGCAGAGAAGTCTGGAAGCCTGTCGCCAAGGAAACGGCCTCTTCCAGTTTTCCCTGGAAGGTTCAAAAAGCACAAAGTTAAACCTGTACAAGAAAAACATCAGCAAAACATAAGGAAAGACAAGTTCATCCACGTTGTCTTACCCTGCGGTCGTCCATCTTGGTGTTGAGGCTGCCCCACTTGTTCTGCAGCATGCCCAGGTTCTGCTGGGTCTGGGTGGTACCAGGTCCGGCCTCCTCTCCTCCACGGGCCAGCAGCATGGACTCTCCTTGATCTAGCAGACGATGGTACTGCTCCGCTCGCTGAGTCAGCTGCGCCTGAAGCTCCTGCAGACAGAGAAGACTCAAATATGAAGTGATGAACTGGTGAACAGGTGAGTGTTGAGCTGCTCAGAACAATGGAGGCGATTAAAGTTTCATAGTGTCCATCTGCCAAGTGTCTCTGTGAAACTAATACTCAGAGCATCTGCTCAAAAGTTGTAGTAAATAATATCGGTACATATTTAAAATATATTAAAGACGCTGAGCTGACACTGGACTGGTTATTCAGGAGGCATCTTTACATAAGATTTGTCATCAGAAAGCATTTTACAAGCTGCCTAAAATATCAATAAACAAAGTTACATCACACAGAACCTTATTTATGCAACAGAGAACTTTGCTTTCAGATTGCAGGATTGTTTGTGGTTTCTACAGTTTCCAAAAGAAGAATAGGAGGCAGAGCTTAAAAGGCTCCTCTGCTGTGGAACCAGTTCACTGTTATTATTCAGGAGGCTTTCTCCTTTTAGTAAAAAATAGTTTATAGTTCGGGCTGCTCAGGAGACCGTGACCCATCCCTTAATTATGTTGCTATTAGAGCTTTAATGATTAATTCATTAGTTGTCAACAAGTAGATTAATCACCAACTACTTTGATAGTTGATGAAACTGATTAAATTCAGTATTTTTTAAAGTGAAAAATATTGAAATTCTCTTATTCCGGCTTCTCTCTCATGTACTTTGTGTTTTGTTCCTGCTGCAGGTATCTCTAGCAGCAGAGTTACATATTTGTGATTTTCAGATGACTCTGAATGTCATAAATAAAATTTAACTGAGCTTACACCATGTAAACTGAACCTTGTACCACTAACTTCACAGAATGCAGCAAGAGATCATTTTTGTTGACAGAAACCCAACATGATAAAAACGTGTGCTTTGTGTTAACATATAAAGGATTAATATAAGGTTTTCTTCTACACCTTTAATCTGTGGGATGTTCAAAAACAGAAAACAAAACATAAATAAACAACTTAAACTGAACTATTTTATCTTGTTATATTGCAGGTTTATAATCTTCAAAATCTATAAATCTTCAAAGCATGTAAAACAGTCATCAGCAGTGTGATATGGTCCCTCCTGTGTGTGCTCTGATGAGGTTCTGTGTGCTGTGCATGATACTGTGAGTATGAAGCTGTAATGTGATGCTCTGGTACCATGTGCTGCTGTAGCTGCTCTCTGGCTGTTTCAGGTAAACCTCCGGTGGGTTTGGCAGCAGACAGCTGGCTCTCCGTCCTCCTCAACCACTGGAGAAACTCCTCCAACTCGCCATGGAAACCTTCAGCCTACAGAGACACAGGGGAGGGAGGTGCAGGAGAGGACATAGATTAATTACTGCAGGTAAAGATTACATCATGAAAAACTACCATAGAAGAAATCTGTATAATATCTAAAATTTCTTTACTGCAAATTTCTCCACTGTGCAATTAAAAAAAAATTCTCTCATCTTAAGAAAATATTACGAACTATAACTGTTACTAATCCAACTTTATTTACTACAGCTCTTGCTGTTTCTACCATTGTAATCCTAATATAGCTGGTACTGATGATGAAGCACTATCACTAGTAATTCTAAGACTTTCATTTTAGGTTTATTTTCCATAATAATAAAACATCAACTAAAATACCTGTGCAACTGCATAAACTAAAATAACTTCACAGAGGTGTTTTGATCATTTTCACTGTATTTCGGTTTTCTCCTATAATAAGAAATGTGTTTTTATTGCAGTTTAACGACACAAAGATTGAACAAAACTCCGTTTACCTGCTGCAGGGCGGCCTCCAGGAGTTTCTGCCTCTCCTTGGTCTTGAGTAGCAGACTCTCCCAGCTCTGGTTGAGCTTATCCAGCTGATCTCTCAGGTGACTGGCCTCGTCGCCGGGAGACGACTCCAGCAGCTCGGCGCCGGCACTGTTCACCGTCTCCACCGTTGCATGATGGGACAGCACGTCATTACGCAAAACCTGGAAGACAGAATCAGATGTGAACGCAAGTAATACAAGCACGGCTGAACAGAGACTAACAACGTGGCACACATTTTGTAAGTTACAGCTGGAGGCCAGTGCTTGTTTTATCTGGATAATTATGCAGGAAATTTAATTAAAAAGTTACAATCTTTTAAAGAAATAAGCCATTCTCTGGGTTTGTTGCTTTTTCTGAGTTTGTAATGAATATGAAACGTACGTGATGTTTGGCCAGCTCGATCTCGATGGCCTTCGGGTCGGAGCTGACGGGTCGCTGTGTGTCCAGAGTGGTGTGAGTGTGGCTCAGCCAGGCCTGCAGCTCCGACAGGGCGTGTTGGAACTGACCCAGGGCCAGCAGGGCAGCCTCCAGCTTGTGCTGTGGTGAGCGGAGGACAGAGGTTCTGGCTTAAAAATAGGAACTCAAATACTGGAGCCGTAATGAACAGCAGCAAAAGCAGCTTGGGTGTGTGTTAATCTATGGGTCTAACTCCTCAGCCAAACTGCTGCCTCAGTACCTGTCTTTGGGTGATTTTGTCCCCCAGGTTGTCCCAGAGGTGTCTGAGTTCGGTCAGCGGTTCCTGGATCATGTCCCGGTCCGTCTGGTCGGACACTTTCTTCAGCAGCAGCTCCCCCTGGTGGCACAGCTTCTCCATGTCGATCTGCTGCTGGTAAACCTCCACCTTGTACTGCTGCTCAGGGTGAACGGAGGAACCAGGGGAAGAGAGGAGGGGTGAAGGAAAGAGTTTGTTGTTGGTTCTTGGTGTAATTTTGACCCGTGTTGAGAAACTGTTGGTATCAAAAACTTTTACACTAACCTTGAGCTCTTCAATCTGCTGCTTGACAGTTCCCAGGTCGGTTCCCACGGTCGACATGTCGCACAGTTTGATCACAGCGTTGTCCAAGTAATCAAACATAGACTGGAAATGAAACAGAGATATTAGCTTCTGGTTACGAAGGGAAACACAAGAAAAATGATTTTAATTGCTTAATTGGCGCAAAGAAAAAACACAAGCTAAACAACATAAAACTAGCTGTCGTTCCTGACGACAACAGTTGCAGTGCTGCACTGGTGGACTTTTTTTTCTTTTATTGTGGTTTCTAAAGTCTCTACGTATGTGTCAGTTTTTCCATTAAGAACATTTCTGCATTGATTATTAGTTGTTGGTCTTCAATTTGTAAAAAGAGAATGAAATAGTAAAATACGGAAACAAGGAAACACAAGAGGACAAGTTATAGGATCAAAGACACAATAATAAATTTCTTGTGAAGTGGTTTACGGCATCTTACGAGGAACAATTAGACAGACTGTGAATCTTATTATGTCATCAGCTATCATAACTTAAAGTGTAATAAAACTGGATCAAGTTAAATGTAAACATGTCTGATGTACAAACCTGCAGCGCATCCTGATACTGAACAGAAGCAGTCATGGCCTCCTCCAGTCTCTCCATCCTCTCCCTCCATGTCCGGTTCAGGCCTTCCCAGGCAGCGTTCATCTGACAAACACAGGAAGGAGGATCAGTTAGTGGGTCAACATGAAGCCAAGTGTAGTTTAGTTTATTAGTGAATGATGGCAACATGGGTCTTGATTTCTCACCTCATCTATGGTCTTCTTGACTTCAGGTTTCTCAGTTTCTCCGCAGGCAAAGATGAGGTCGGCTCCGAGGGTCCTGACAAACTCCAGCTCCTCCCTCAGGCCGTCTGTTTCCGCCTTGATGGCCTGGTAGAGAAACAGAAGATCATTTAGCAAAACAACTTCTCAGTCTTTCAGCTCTCTTCTCTTCCCGATGTCCCCAGTTCATCCTCTGTACCTCTGCAGCCTCAATCTGCTGTTTGATGAGCGATGGGTCAACCCCGGGGTCCTCCAGCTCCTTCACAATGTCCTGGGAGTCTCGGAGCGTGCTCAGTAGCGCCGCCACGTCGGCCCAGAATTTCCCGGCCAGGTCCAACACGTCGTTCAGCTTTCCCTCCCGCTCCTCGGCTCGCTGCCGGATCTCATCCCACAGAGAACGGAGGCGCAGGAGGCGAGAACGAACAGCTGCAGCAGGGAGGCGAAGGAGGGATGGTTTAAACAAACTGGTGAAGAGTAGCTGGTGGGAAACACTCCTTGTTTTCACAACATTATCTAGTCTCAGATTGGCTCATCATTAGTCTGACTTTTACCATCTTGTGTACAGTGCTGGTATGTTCAGTCCTTCACGATTCCACTCCTACTATCGGAGCACAGTGAGTTCTTTCATTTGCACGAAGGCTGCAGCACAAAGTTCTTTAGAGGCGATTTAACAAAGACACGTGTGTGTTGTGTTTCACCATGTGCTGGCATCGGAAGAAAAACGCAGAACTTCACTGGTGATTCTGTTCAATTTCAAGATTTGACAAGGTCTGCCTGCTGGCCTGGTGCCAGCTACACAGAGAGCGACCTCAGCCAGTTGATTGTTCACCCAGTGAACTCGTTGGACCGGAGCCCAAAATAAGGTTTGAGTAGTTTTCACTCACATTACAGAAGCCCATTATGTTTGCTTGTCTGTCCTGACTCACTCCAGTTTCTGATGTGCTTTTGTTGATTAATAAAATAAAATAAAATTCAGCTATTTTCAATTCATAGCCACACACTGAAAGGTTAAAAATAAGAGCTGACAGTTAGTAGGGGAGCCGAGAAAAATAATTATATTCCAGTTTGATGCCCCTTCAGCAGCTAATGAGCCTTCATTAAAGCCAGTTAATGTGTTGTGCAGCAAAATGGGAAAAAAATGCATGAATTATTCTCCTATTGCTGTACGACATTCACAGCAGCTCATGAATGGATGCAACAAGCAAAACAAATACAAACTTTGAATTACAGCCTGTTAAAAGTGTTTCCCTCGCTTGAAAGTTTCATCTTCTATTGCTTTTAAGCACTGAATCATGGTCAACTTACTGTATTTTTGAATGAGAATTTACAAAAGACAACTCTTTCATGTCACCCAGTGGTCACCCTCTTTAAAGTTCATTCATCACAGGTGCAGCCAGTCAGAAGTCACATGATTAGTGAAATGAAGATCATCAAGTGCAGTGAGTATTTTTCAGGTGACTGCAATATAAAGATACCAGTCTAATCCAGTCACTGGTGAATCAGTACTCCTGGATATACCTACATCAGACTAGACACTATGTTCGGCAAACACCAAACACAGCACAGCATCACAAACACACCATTCCCACTGTCAAGCATGGTGGTGGCAGCATCATGATGGGTATAGTACAGGGAAATCCTGGAGAACAGCCTCATGCAAATCTAAAGTATACAACCAAAGTATACACAAAAGAATGTGCTGGAGGCTGAGTCAGAGCCCAGATCTCAGTCTAACTGAGAATATGCGGCTGGTGAATCAGAACTCCTGGTTATAACTACATCACAAAGAGTTTTTTAGGCACTTACACCCTGTTTACCACATGAACTCTGTGGCCTGCCTGAATGTTATGCAGCTGTCACGTCACAGTTTCTCACCCTGAGCAGCAGGATCGTCGTGAGCCGCCCTGCCGATGAGCTCTTCTCCTCGGGCGCAGAGGGCGGAGAAGCTGGGCAGCAGTTTGTCCAGCTCCAGCCCCTGGGCTCGGTGCTCTGCCAGCTGCTCCCTGATCTTCTCCACCTCTGCTGCCACCGGAGGAGGCTGCCGCAGCCGCTGCACCGCCCCCTCCAGGGTCTCCAACAGCGGGTCCATCTTGTCGTGGAACTGGAGGCAGAACCGGAAGAGTAAGTTACGAGGACGAGGAGAAGAGAGTGCTGTGAAGTTACTGGGTTTGGGTTTGACAGCTAGGTGACAGTTTGAAAGTTGGAAAATACTGAGATGTTATGTGGGTGGTCAGCCATCTGTGGCAGAATGCTATAACTCTAAACTTTATATCAGATTTCGGAAATTATCAAATGTGTAGACCAAGAATACTGAAGCATAGTTTACAGTGGTAAAAATCTCAATATGGCACTTTCAGCGTGTCATCCAGACTCAATCTACCACACAGGAGGGAGCTATTAACACAACAGAATTCACTCTACTGGAGTCAGGAGACATTTTAAACAGGAGAGCACTCAGGATACAGCTCCTGAGTTGATGGGCTGTTTTATGCATCAGAGGGAAATTAAACCGACAAACACAAATTTCATCTAAACACACGGAACAATACAAAAGTAATACAAAAGGGCAGCTATGGTTGGTTTTAAAGACTTAAATGAAGCCTACTTTAGACGAGGCTTAATTTAAGTCTGCAATCATACAAAGAAACAATAGTTCAAAACAGATCAGGTTCAGTCTTGTGGTCACTCGGGGTTGGCAAACACATGACTCAGAGGAATGTTTGAATCAAAAAAGCAAGATATGTATACACAGAAATAATCCAGAAATCTTCTAATATCAGTCTATTAATTATTGCTTCGTAGCCCTCTGAACCCCAAAACCTCGGCGGCTTTACAAAGTGTCATTTTTATTCAAAAAATTACACCATTTGTCAGAGCGAGAAACAGAACAAACAGAAAGAGTTTTTAGATTTTCAGTTTTCAAACAGACTCATCTGGGATGTGCTGTTCCTTCAGAAAAGCTCAACCAAATCTAAGCTTAAAAAATTGCGATATTTCATCAAAATCATTTCATTCTGCATGTATCGTTCAAAAAAAGTGCCAAAAATAAACCGTTCGCATGAACAAGATTTTGCAAAAAAAACCAAAAAAATCTCCATTCCTTTGCACAACCGTAAAGCCATTAGTGACAAGCCATGCAACAAAAGTGTCGGGACATCTTGGCTGAACTGCAGGTTGTGTTTACACAGAGCAGAAACAAATATGGAATAAAATCAAACATGGACATCGCAAAATATCTACGGCATGTATAACCACCATTTCTTCTCCAGCATTAGTAACACCTGATGGCACTTGGAAAAATGTTGTACATGCCAATTCTAGGATTTTTAAATGTATTTATTTTTTTCAAGTTTTGCTGTTTCCATAGAGGTGCAGGATTTTATGAAAAGGGACGCTCAGAAACTGCTTGGGATTCAGAGGGTTAATACTGAGCTGCAATAATGTGTTTCAGCAAGAATTAATACCATTCTCCCACATAATAGTTGAGCATTTTTTGGATTTTAAAATATTTTTTTTCCAGGCGAGATCTGCACTTGATTAATATGAGATGAATGCTTTATTATTGATTTTCATTAATAACAGAATCATGTGGTGAAACCGCAGCCCGAGTGCCAGTTTGATGTGGTCAGTCAATGGTCTTACCTCCACCAGCTGGGTGATTGCAGTGAGCAGTGACCATGGAGAAAATGGTGGTGAGGGGCAACACACACATCCACAATGAACGAGGGATGGGATGGAGGAGGTTGCAGGGATGTGAGGGGGAGGGAGGTTAAGTGACAGGATGAGGTGAGGAGACATGAGGAGGTGGTTGTGAGAAGGAGGATAAAGTGCAGGAGGAGGAGGAGGAGGAGCGAAACGAGGAGCGATTTGAAGGGGGCGGAGGGTGGAGAAACAACACAATGAGTTAAATCAGAGTCATGCATACAGTACAAACTGAACATCGACGGCAGCAACACCGGTGATTCAGTGACATCTCATGAGATGAAGTGCAAAGAAAAAGTGAAATGTCTGTAAAGAAAGCTACACTATGAGCAGACATGATGAGATACAGAAACGTCTGAATGGTCAAATATTGCTTTGAGTCTGTGCTGCCTGCAGTGGTGGAAGTACATTTACTAGTACTGCACTTAAATACAAAATCTTTGCATTTTACAACATTTTTATGCACCTTCACACATCTACTCTTCTGCATCTCAGAGGCAAATATCACACTTTTTACTCCACTACATTTGTCTGACAGCTTCAGTAAATATTTACTCCTCTGATTGCAATTTCTTTGTCTCCAAATTTTGTGATCTAAACTGAAAGAGTCAGTATTTCTTCGTGGGGTTAGAAGCTTCTTCTACTTCTTCTAACTATTAAAAAACCCTCTTGAATTAGCTGTAAAATCTCGAAGAGCTGAAAAGCTGACTTTTTACATAAAAACATAAAATGACCTCATAGAATCTGCATTGCTGTAGATTAAACTACTACTAACAATATGAAAAGTAGTTAAAATTAGCTCAACCTTAACATCTGTCTGTATAATGCTAAATTGACATTTGTGCAGCAGTAACATGAATTCAAAAGCATCGCTAACACTTGCACGGAACATTTTTCTGCATAAAAAGAACTTCACCACTGATAATACTTGCATACTTTTACTTAAGTAAAGATTTGAGTGCAGTACTTTTACTTGTAGTGGAGTATTATTATAGTGTGCTACTTTTACTTAAGATAAAGATCTGAATACTTTTTCCACCACTGTTTGCTTGAGCATGCACTGCAGATGTAAACTTGTTACCAAGAAAGATAGAAGTATCGAGAACAACAAATTAATAAAAAAACAAAACAAAACGTAGCTTTAACCAAACCTGTGACATTGCACAATAAATCCTCATTATCATTTAGTGTAAAGCAAGCAACCAAGACAAAAACAAACCCCATGCTGCTTATTAATCAGGTCAGACCTCAGTCTCATCCACGGCTGCAGACACTAAATAACAAGCTCTAAACAGACCTGGGCTAAACAGCAATTCTGCAATCTGTGCTGAGGGCCAGATGGGTGTAGTTTAACAAATTAGGTCAGTTCATACGCTAAATGTGGTTTAGATTCACTGAATTATATTAAACACAAATCTTCTGGATCTCTGGTAACTGAGAGGAACAACATATTAGACCCAGGTCTGCAGTTAAAGTGTAGTAAAGCAGTTAATGCGTCCTCTGTGACGTACCTGAGCAGACTGAGACACCGCCTCGTCTAGAGCAGTAGCGCGACCTTTGACGTCCTCTTTGATGGCGAGGTATCGTCTCTCGGCGTCGGTGTAGCGCTGCATCACCGTCGCTCCCTCGTGGAGGCTGAGCTCGGCCAGCTGAGGTCCGATCTTCAGCAGCTTGTCGATGTGGGGTTTGTGCTCTGCAATGGACTCCCTGAGCAGCTGTGGAGGACATTAAGAACATGGACAGTGAATAGATGTTTTGCTGAAACCTACTAAGTGACAAACTGAGAGAAAAGAAATGGAAGTGTGACATTCTACATCCTGGCTTACCCTCATCTGGTCCTGCTGCAGGCGGAGAGCGTCGGTGTCGATAGCCGGTGGTGGCAGCTGGGTGATGAGGGTTTCAGTCTCACCCAACCAGGGCTCGAGCTCCTCGTAGGTCTCCCAGAACCGAGCCACCAGAACCTGGGCCTGCTCCAGAGCTGAGAACCGCTCGCTGTGGTTCTGACTCACAGCATCATAACGAGCACTCAGAGAATCTGTCTTCACCTGAGGACGGAGATGAAACATTTACACATTATTGATTATTTCTTACAGATAACTAGGGATGCAATTAATGATTATTGATTATCTTCTTAATATAGTGATTAGTTGTTTGCTCTGTAAAATGTCAGAAAATGGTGAAAAATCAGGTGATCATTGTTTCCTCTAATGTCTCTGTCAACACTCAAAGATATTCAGTTCACTGTCACAGAGAAGGAAAAGATTCAAACTGATTAATCAACGAGCCAAAATGTTAGTGATTAATTTAAATTTAAAGTTGACAGCTCATCTATTAATTGTTGTAGCTCTAATACGTTAGTTCAGGTTCATCTGAGCAGCCGTAACTCGAAGCTTTATCAAAAACAAAAGTTTTAAGCCTCATTCCAAAAGTAGAGAGGGTGTCTGCCCGTTGACAAAAACTGTGAGCTGGTGATTTTCCAAACAGTTGGTTATTGCTTTAACAGCTGATCCACTGATCACTGTAGCTCTACAGATCACAAGTCAGTTTCTCTTGTGGACTTCATTCTTCCCGTCTCATCAAAGTAAACAACCCCCCAGTGACGCACCATCAGAGCGTCCTTCTGAGCGTCGCTGCAGGTTTCCAGGATGTCGTCTCTGGTGTTGAGGAGCTGATCCACGGTGTCTTTGTGTCGGATGATGTCGATGTTGAACGCTCTCTGCACTTGCAGCTGAGCCACGGTGACGTCAGGCTCCAGGCTCAGGGGCCCCAGAGACGCCAACTTGCGCTCCGTCTCCCCAACCCAGGCGAGTTCTGCATCCACAGCCTCCTCGTACTGAAGGGAGGAGTCAACAAATTCAAGTGCCAACAGTAAAAAGGACAAATATAAAGCAAGTTTAAATCGGTTAAAGCTCCTTGTAGTACCTGTTGTGACCTCTGGATGGCGGCTTGTACCAGCTGCACCCGCTGAGTGATGGTGTCATCAGCCTGGCGGTAGCGCTGGTTGCCGTCTGCGACCAGGCGGTCCAGGCCTTCGCGGGCTCGCCATGGTACCAGATCCAGCAAGGCGCTGCCCACCTCGTTCACCGTGTCCAACACCAGACGCTTCTCTGCTGACACTTTCTTCAGCTCCTGCAAAAGTCAAACCAAAGGAACAGATTTACAAATTCATCTAATGATTACACTTAAAAAACAAAAACCTGACATCAACAAGTCTAAATGGCCTTCAGAGCATCATCTGCTGCCTGAAGGTGCTTTTCAAGAACATGTGAAAGGTAAACTGGGAGCACATTAAATGTCATTGCAAAGTGAATAAACTGGAAGGCAAAAAATTAAATGGCAATAATCCTTTTAAAGCTTTTACAAACTGTTATTGAGTTCCCAGAAATCAATGTTTCTATGGTAACTCAGCTGTGGGTAGGTTGATATTGGAAAGGCTGAAAATGTCATTACAGACAGGAGCTGTCATTAAATTTGTTTTTCAAGCAACATTTTTTCATAGTGGGGACAAAAAAACCCAGAAGAATAATCTTTACAAACTGTAAGATGTGGATGATTAAGTTTTATCGAGTTGTTAGTTAAGCACCGTGGTTACATACTTTAACTCAAATGTCCCAAAAAACAGGTGAAAAAACTAAATAATACAGAAAAAGAGCTGCATCTTAGCAAAGTACAACAACAAAAAGTGATGTGTACATGGGAATGGATGCAGCAGATAGATGCAGAGTCTTACACTGTTGTTCCAAACTCTTATTCTAAACAGGTGACTCAGCAGCAGAGTCACCAGTATACCAGGAAGCGATGAGTCTCATGTGAAACGCTGGAACATTTATACAATCACATCTAAATACTGTAACTTAATAGCTCTTGTTAAGCTTGATGTGGTGGTGTGGTATTTTAAAGACACAAAGAGTTGCTGCTGCTGCTGCTATTTTTAGTAGTTTATGTGATTTCCTTTTATTTCGAATCAACTGAACTGGTTTACAACACTGAAAACAAAACAGCTAATTAGGGATTTCTGGGGCCTGATCACATGGCTGTTTCCACGATCGGTTGTGCCCAACACTTTGATACTTTGGTATCAGTTTTCACAAAGAAATGTAAAAAAAACACCCACAAGAACACATATCTGATGTTCCTCTGTGATGCAGATACGCTATTTTACCTAAACTCAGCTTAAGTTATCACTCATTAGCTGGTCTGAGGTCAATAAGCCTCAAGTCTCTACCATGGTGCTCCTTAACTAGCCAAACTCCAACAATGCTCTTTGCCTGCCAACATGGAAGTGTGCACTTCCTCTGGCTGGCTTCAAACACTAAGAGGTTACAATACTTACAGTGCACATTATCTAGGAAAATGGCAACTTCTATCGATAGCCAAAAATACTCAATCGGGACATCCTTACAACTCATACAACTGCTATCAATGAATGTTTCTTCATCTGTAGGTTCATTTTTGTGAACTTCTCAAAAAGGTTTTCAGAGATGGACGACAGTGACACACACAAACACTCCTCCCACCTTCTGTCTCTCCTGGTAGGCAGGCGTGGCGTCGGGCTCCACGTTGTTAAGCTCCGCCTCCACGCCGTCCAGCCACTGGTTGAGGTCGTCGTGGGCGCTGGCGAATCGCGTGGCCAGCTGCAGGGCCTGCTCCAGGGTGCGGAGGGCCTTGCTGCTGCCGGCCGTCATCTCAGCGTAGCGAGACTTGATGCCATCCAGCTTCTCCTGGATCAGGAGGACTTCCTCACCTGCAGGAGGACACATGACCGTTCAATCAGGGTCTAATTACACATTTTTACATTTCAACTGGATAGTTTATCTTTTCAGGATGTCTGTTTATATACAGTGTGACATACTGGAGCATATAGTCAAACCAAACTCCTTGTTAAGTTGTTCTAGTAATTGTTTGCTGAACCCTTTTTTGAGTCCTTATCCTCATTTTCTCATCAAATTCCAATATTGCAAACATATTCTGTAAAATCAGTTTGACAGCTTGGCACAGCTTTCATGGCCACAACATTTGTCTGCCTAAAATATGACAGTAGACGCACAAAGCGTCTTCATGGGCAGACCAACAATCAACTCGCTAATAGTGCTAGCGGTCAGCATGGCTAATATGATGGAAGGAAAAGAGAAACACAAACCAGATGTTCCAGTTTGGTTCACTGCTGATCGAAAAATGTGTGGTTTGGATGCAAATCTGCAGCTAAAAACAGCGTTTGCCTGTCAAGTGTGTCAGGCTGGGCATTCTGTATCTGTACAAACACTGAGTTAACTTGATTAAAGACACTGATTGGGAAGCGCATTTATCCCTCGGCAGAACAAACACACAACTTGCTTTGTTATTTTAGCGGCTGTTCATCAAAATATTTGAAGTACACCAAATGGACACAACTGAAAAACACATCTTGAAATAATGAAACGTGATGAGGTTTAGAAGATTACCTGTGGTCTGTTTGAGTAAAGCTTGTCCGTTCTTGATGGCCTGATCCACAGTTTTCTTTCTGCTCAAGATCTCTTCATTCAGAGACTGAGGGAATACAAACAGTGAGCATTAACACTTACAAGATAAAAACATTTCTCACTTGTGCTACAAAACCACAATTACAACTACGATGTGAACATTTTCTGCAACTTTTCAAAACAGCATTTATACCTTCTAAATAAGACAATAGTTCATTTTGACACTATTGTGTATTATGTGCCGCCAGAATCTGTTTCTGATTGAACCCTCTGAACCGTAAAACCTGCCAGCAGGTTTGAAAGACAAGCTAGAAAAAAATGTACCCAAATTACACCATTTGTTAGGGAGGAAAATTGTAAAAACATTAAAAAAAAATAGTGGATTATCAACTTTCAGCTTTTGTTTCATTTTTTTTTATGACTCATGACATTATATCTGTAATATACAGCACAGAAGACATTTCTAAGCTCTATACTAGTCACGGTTGTGCTCTTTTCATAGAGCTGCAGGATTTTATATTACAGGGAAAAATTGTCTCACAGTGATGAAAAATGTGACTCGAAAAAAAAAAAAAAGCCCCAAACCTACTTGAGGTTCAGAGGGTTAAATGCTTTAAGAATTTCTGCAGCCTTTACAGATTTTAAATCACCTTGTCATTTAAAAATACAGTCATATGTAGAAATATCTGTGGCTTATTTTAGTTTTACTTGCTGCATGTGATACCAAAACTATTATTTCTATACCATACTCCCAGTATTTGTTTCTAAGAGCTGTTGTCCTGTCTCATGAGGTGAGCGCTGCAGCGGAGCCTCGGCGTGTTCATGAAGTCGTACCAGAAAGTGTTTGTGCTGCTCGGCCAGCAGCTGAGGCTGGTAGCTCTGGACGGAGACCTGAGCCAGCCTTTGAGCCACCTCGGCCAGCCAGTTCAGCACCTCTACCTCGTCTTCCCCAAACAGCTGAGCGTTGGCCAGCGCCTGCTCCAGCAGACCCGCCCGCCTCGAGCACCAATCGGCGAGCTCCGAGTGACCCGACCTCACCGCCCCCACCCGCTCGCTCAACCAATCCTGATCGGCCGCACAGCTGAGCGGCGTCAGCGATTGGCTGAGAGACTCGAGGTGGTCGACCTCAGCTTCTCGGGAGGAAACGTCATCTTGGAGCGCCTGGGAAGTGTGTGTGTGTGTGTGTGTGTGTTTGATGTAAAGGAAAGTGAGAAATGAAAAGCAAAACAACAAGAAGATGGATGAAAACTCAAAACATGAGCATGCAGATGATAAATCATAGATTAAAACGAAAACATAAACATCAAAGGATGACCGAGTGGCTTACAGAACTTAAAAAAATAACTTAAAAATGGAAACAACAGAAATGAGATCGAGGGATGTTCTGAGCCTGATCCTAAGCCAAACATGGGAATTTCAAAGCGGTCAGTATTCATGCCAACAGATGCCCAATTTTTTGTTTGCATCTGTTGTCAACTGGAAACATTACAAAAAGCTTCGGAAATGGCCATCAGATGTTCCACTGAGGAGTAGAATGACTGTCTGACTTTATTCTAACCTTACTGAACACTTGTTCGCTGGCCTGAGGTCAGTAAGTCTCTATCATGGTGCTCCTTTACTAGTTAGTAGCTCTGGTCGCTACAGTATTAAACAGTAAGTGGTACTATATTTTGAAATTATCTAGGAAAACATTATTGGGTATTGGCAAATACAAAATATCCAATCAGATCAAGAACAAGTAAAAAAAAAAAACTTGATGGGGACATCCCTGATGAAAACCAAAAACTCAACCAGACATGAACTTGTAAGAGGCAATGTGTGAGTTGTAAAGAAATACTTTGTGGTTCCTTTTCTTCCCCTTTGTCTCCAGTTAGAATGTGAATAAATGTGCATTTTAACACAACTGCTGCCTCCTTGTGAGTTCACGAGGACGGACGCTTCGTCTTTGTAAAAAACCAGGTCAGGTCTGTGGGCCAACCGGTACCTTGTGCTTGACGATCTGCTGGGTGATCTTGGCCGTCTGGGTTCCCATCGGCTCGGCGGAGCTCAGGCGTCTCTCGGTGGCGCTCAGCCATTCGCCCAGCGGCTCCAGGGCTTCGTGGAATTGAAGAGCCAAAACCTGCAGCTCCTCCAACTGCCTTTGCCTGAGAAGGGAGGTGGTGACAGAGACGAATGAGGAGAAGGAGGCGTACCTTTATTGGCATTTTATTGCTTTCACTCTTTCTTTTTTGATCTGCGTTATTGCAAGATTTGGTTCTGAGTTTGTGTCTTACAGCTGTCATCTTTTTTTCACAACGCAATTCAATAAACATTCATGAAGCTTTTATTACATAAATATAATTAGATTTTAAGTATTTTGCGAACAGATAAAACGGATTATTGTAGTGTGTTAGAGACAGTGGTGAGAAAACGCATCTTTTCATCTTTTTGTGTGTATATATATGTTAGTGCCAAGAGAAGCTTATAGTGTGTTTGTACTGAAGGCAGTTGTGTGTATGTGTCTGTACATGCGATCATAGCAGACAGTGTGATAAATTCCAGCGACATGACCAACATTCTTATACCATGCCTTGCAGCATGTTGTCAGGCATGAATGTGTGGTAACATTATACAGTATGACACTGCTTTACACGAGCGTCTGAGAAATCAAACCTCGTCACTGCACTTTGTAAATCTATCATGTATGGTCGTGTACAATTCCCCTGAAGGGATCGTTCGTTTCCCTCGTGAACAGAAGAGCCTTTGAAACCACTTGTAGACCACAGAAACCAACACTAATGGGAATTTTTTTTCTTTAAAAACATAAGAGACACTCTGACATGAAACAGAAACAGTAAAGAAACCACAAGATAACATGATGCTGAGGTAAACCACCGACTACTTTCCTAAACCGCATATTTACAGCAAGATAAACTTGCCACTTACGGTTTGCTGTGATTTTATCTGCGCTGCCTTTTCAAAGGACAAAATGTGACACCTCAGTGTTGACTACTAAAAGTTTCCATCTCTCTTTCATGCTCTGCAGCAGAGGTCAGAGATCAAATTACAGGTTCTGGAGTTTGTGACTCGCCCCAGGATACGTCAAAATGCTGAAACGTCGGCCGACATCAGAGCTTAAACCTGTGCAGCAGAGAATCTTTACCTGCCGCCGGCCTTGTCCAGCAGGTCGGTCCATCTCTCTGCTAGACTCTGCAGCTGTGTCTGGATCTTCTCTCGGTCCTGAGTGTCTGCCGTGGTGGCGATTCTCTCTCCTTCGGCCCGGATCATCTCCACCGTCGGCCTGCGGTCATCCAACAATCTCTGGAGCAGCTGAGGGACAGAAAAGCACGCATTAATTGGCACGATTCATTCTTTAGAGGTTTCAAAATTCTACACAGCAAATATCCTGTTTGTTCTTTGCACTTTCATTACTGCCTGGTTTGAAACAGACACCAGAAAGGACAGAAGACAACAGACAGTCAGAACTGCAGAGAAAATCACTGTTGTCCACCTGCCGTCTATCCAGGATTTATACATGTCCAGAGTTAGTAAATGGGAAAATAACTGCTAATCTGAGTCACCGAATGCAGGCTGTGTGCATAAGCCTGCTATTGGCTGCTAATATTAGACCGCTTCCTCCCTCAAAAATGACGATAAAGTAACTTGAACTTGTCCAAAAGAGCGACAGAATGCTATAATGATGCTGGCATTAAGACTTATGCACAAGACTGCATTTGTTCGTCCAGGTGCACCTGAATACACAGCCTAATTCCATCTGACAGTATTTTTCTTCCCGTCAACATGTTCCACTATCAAATCCAAACTGAGAAACACATTCCTCCATGTTTGCAGAAGGACAGTGAGTTTACACTTGAGACGAAAACAAGTCAGAAGATGTGCTTCAGAAAAAAACAACTCGACTGATGTACGTCTGTGAAAACATGTAGTCAGGAATGAAATGTACAGATTTTATTGTAGAATTCTCCTAATTTTAAAAACGCATGATTTTCATCCGTTTTACCAAAATCAGCACGTAACTTTTAACCTTCCCTTCTTTTTTCAAGGGGACAGTCATCTACAAAATTGTTACCGATGGAGTTTTGTCAGCTGGTATCTAGGGGTCGGTGCTGCTTTAATATAGGCAGATATGGAACAATCTTTCATTTAATTTACTTGGAGTCCAAATATTTTCACTTTTGCAAACAACATACGTGGATTTTCCTTCCTTCCAGCTCAGAAAGCGCCTCTGTCGGCTTTAAACAGCTCCGCTCAGCCCATGAATGCACTTCTCTACAGTTTACTCTCTTTCCGAGCCAAACGGTAACACGGCTCTCCGTCACGGATGTAAACACATGTGATTGATCGCTGGCCGAGACTGCGGCACTCTTATGTGCACAAACACAGGAAATGTATGTTGGATAAACACGGAAAAGTGTGTGTGTGTGAGTGTGTCTCTGAAAACAATACAAATCCACCATGCATGCGTGCGTCTGTTTTTCTGCCAGTCTGACTGGCAGACAGTCAACTGGGGCCGAGTGGATGCCAGGCAGACGGATCATCGACTGTGTGTTTGCTGTGCGCTTGTCATTCAAATATCTATTTGATGTTGTTTGTTACTGAAGGACACTGAGGACATCTGAATATCAATAATACTGCAATCAAACCTGTCTGATAGAGGATTGGATTTTCATATTAATATTTAAAAACAAATAACCTAGAAAATGTAAAAATGAAAATCTTTTTTAATTTGTAGAGTACAGCTGGCTCAAAGGTAGAAGAGGAGAATGTGGGAGGCAGAATCTAAGCGTTCAGATGACTGTGATCACTGATCACTGCTTTAATCACTGCACCTCTAATGACCAAAAACAAGTCTTATAATACTGCTTTACGTGGTAAATCTCCTGGTTCTGTTTCTGAACAAACATTACAATTCTTACCTTTTGCTCCTGGATCTGGGCCTTGACCACGCGGTACTCGGCGGACGGCGGCTTCTGATTGGCCACCAGCTCCTCCGTGTCGTTCAGCCAGCTGAGCAGAGGCTCCAGAGCATCCTGGAATTTCCCACAATGCAGCAGGGCCTCCTGCAGCTGTGCGATCCGCTCGGCCACCTGAGGACGGGAGACATGGTTGTGTATATGTTAGACAGTAAATTAAAATGCTGTAAACTCTTGATCCAGCGTAAGGAATGATACAGTGTATTCATTACACACATACTTGTGCATTTGGTAAAGTGCAGGAAATATCAAAGAAGTCTCAAATATGTAAATATATTCATTTGTTTTGGTGTGAATTAAATCTATTTTAACCATCTAATGTTTTGTCGTTCATTTGTAAAGCACTTTGATTTGTCAGACGAGTGCTACATTAAAAAAAGTTTGACTGATTGATTGTTTGAAAATGCTTTCTAAGTGAGGTGAAGTGAGGGAGTAGGTGTGGCTGGTGTGTCCATTTGTTCTGGCCTGAGATGCTGTTGCTCTCATGACATCCAGTGGTTCTCAACGTTGCACATAGAACCTTTAAAAGCTTCATCAGGAGCAGGTAGCTACAGTCTGAACCGATGCACCTGCTCGCTCCCGATGTTGTTCTTAAATCTCTCCTGGTTTGTCAGACTCGTACCCGTTTGTTGAGTGAGTTCCATCGGAGGTTGGTGGTCTCCAGGTCGTGCTCCAGCGCCTGGGTGTCGGTGTGTTTGGCGGCGCTCTGGATCAGACCCTGACCCACTGCGTTGACGTGCTGCAGCTTTGGTTGAATGCTGTCTACCTGCTCTCTCTCCACGGCCTGCGAGAAGAAGACACAAAGGGCAGGGATGCTATTAACTGACTGTTTTATTGGCTTATAGTATCAATAATGAATGAAAAAAGGAGTCTACAGTGGTTATTTGAACACACAGTCGTCACTCTCAGCAGTCAGAAATTCTCCACATTATGAACCCACATATTGAGGAGACTGGATGTTAAGGAATAAAAGACACAATGAGGGATGTGTGGAGATAAGAGAGGAGTGGGAGACAGGAAGGGAGCTGGAAAAACGAGGGTGGGGTGAGGAGAAAATAAAGGAGGGAGAGAGAGGGGGGATTATGGGGATTAGAGGTTTAGACGAGTAAGGGGCTGGCTGGAAAAGGCTGAGTCGACAAGACACACACTAACACACTTCTACAGTATGCACACAACCTTCACTTAATCACACACCCAGATTCACACCCACCGACCCACACTAACACACATTTATAAAAAATACACACACAACCTCGCCTGTCCGACCACATTACTCACACATACGCGTCACAGTGCAGAGCTGGAGCCATCTTGTGATGACAATAGAAGCAGCCATCCGACGCTAAAGACGACCAGACTTGACTTCCCTGGTCAGTCAATACACCTCCTCTCAGACCGAAACTGTGCCACTACTGCAGCCAAATCCATAGTCAAAGTCTGGCCTATCACAAGCAGCAGTACTAGTAGCCCTAGTCCACATGTACACAGATATATATATTTTAAATGGTGGTTTATCTTCCTTTTTTCTAAAAAATCAAAAATATTTGTCCACATGAAAACAAAAAAACACAATGGAGCGCTGTCATGAGCACATGAGAACAGCAGGCAGTAAAGTAACCCCAATGCTAAAGCCCTGTTTTCCAATCAGAAGCCTAGAACATGCTATTACTGGTTCTGGGAGGTTAACAACAACAGTGTGTTGAGAAAACAAGGATTTATATTCATTGTGATGCCTCTGTTCCTCAATATAGTGGAAGAGCAGCTTTATATATATATGTCTAAACATATTTAAAGTCCTGCTAACAAGATTAGCATCTGCACTGTTTATGCCATATTGCACAAAATCACCTCAACAAAGGAGGTAACGGCACATTCATCACAAAAAAACTCTGTCAATACCAGTCAACAGCGCAAACAGAGTCTCTGAATATCTTCATCTGAAAATTGCTTTTTTTATGTGGATAAAAAGCCAAAATGCATAGAGAAAGCTATGTTTTAAAAAAGAACCGAGTTTGGATTTTGGCCAGCTCCCATGGTGACACGGGAGTGACTGCTCGAACCTATTGCAGCTTTATTGTCTGTTTTCTTCTGAATAGAACCGTAAAGTACAAAATAAACATCACAATGTATTGAAGAAGACCTGAAACTAGCAATTAAAACCATAAACTCATTACCTAAATGTTTACTGAGCTACTAAATCAAATGAGAAGTAGTTTCTTCCCTCAAAACTAGACTTCTTATTGCACCCAGAGGAGTCGCCCCCTGCTGGCTATTAGAGAGAATGCAGGTTTAAAGCTTTACTTTTCAGACCCAGAGGCCAAGTCTGTCTTTTATATACAGTTCATGGATTGAATTGCATTTTTATGCAAATGAGCTATTTAATTAATAACCCATAACCACTCATTTATTCGTAATTTATCATGAAAAAGTTGCACACATCCACTGGTTGCAGCTTTCCTCAGTTTTGTAGCATAAAACTCACACATTTGCTTTGCATAACGGTGTTCAATCAAAAGAAGCAATTGAACATCATTACTTGGCCCATGGTAATTGTGACAGGCATTTTAAACTATTTTCAGGCATTTTATATTCACCAAATTCCAGGATCACTTAAGGGATTACTTCACAATAAAAATAAGAATTTATTGCAGCCCTGACCCAACACAGCTCCACTCTGCCCTCCCCACAACAAAACTGTGTGATTTCTACATGATTTTTTCTCTTTTTACAGTTTCAGGTTTACATTTCACGATTTGGAATGCCTCCCTGACCTATAACATTTGTTTGGTTTGCTGGTGTTGATTTCTGAAGGGATAAACAGTGACTGCAGTTGGTCTCACCGTGAAGAAAAACAACCCTAAACCAACAGCTAATGCAATGAAATGTCAGAAAAGAAACAGCATCCTACTAAATTCCTGTAAACCATCATGCTGTAATCAACAGTTTGCCAAATCCACAAAACAAGCTTCGCAATTTCACGGTATTCCACCAAGTCCCTGACCAGCGGGAACACTGGAAACCACCACAAAGGAGAGCTTCCCATTAGGCCGTCTCTGGTCCGTGGGAGAAGCTCGGCGGGGCGGGGGGTCGCTGTCAGTAAAGCGTCTGAGGAGTCCTGACATTTAGAAAAGGCCCACAGAGGCTGAATTAGGTCTGATGGTGGTTTGTGATGCTGCAGCAGCCAAACCCCGACGGCCACACAAAGAGACACGCACATACACAATGAACTGCATGTGCACATCCAGGACGCACACACACTGCAGACTGAGGTGAAGCCGAGGCCTGCGGGAACATCGCTGGTGAGACAACACTGAAGGAGGGGGAGCAGTTAAAGAGAGTGAGGGGGAAAATGTGAAAATGAAGGTTTGGGGTTTCTGTGAAATACCACTACAGCCTGGAAGAAGACGCCAGAAAGCTCCCACAGTCATGGAATACTAAACTAATAATCTGCTGCATGTAATTGTTTCAAATACAAGAGAAAACATCGGAAAATAAATGAATCCTTCTCTGTTTTCACTATGAAATGTTAAAGATGTGTTCATGTTACACGACGAGGGTGAGGATCTGTTTCCCGGGGAACTCCTGCAGCAGAGGTTACTCCACAAACTTAACAGAAAAGTTATTCAAAGAACTATTCTGTGGGGTTTGGTGTTCCATTTTATAGTCTTATTTAACACCATTTAGTTCATCTCTTCGCTCCAAAAGTAAGAAAAATATTAAGACAATACTGTAGATGTTCCTCAATAAAATGGAGAGACTTTATTTACATTCAGGCAAAAAATTAGGCACTGTTTTGTGCCACTTCTGGATCAATTTATGGTGAAAACATAAAAAAAACAACACAAATTTTAAGCACCAGGCTTCAATTCTAATATTAATGGAAAATACATGGATATAATTGTGCCGAGTCATTTGCACACAAATTTGTTGTTAGAAAGTCACACAAGATCCCATTTTGCCCAAATACACAAAACCAGTCTCTAAAACTTGCATTAAAATCTTCAATATTGTTAAAAGGAGCTCAATAATTTAATGTAAAACAAAATATAGCCTAAAATAGCTCCTCAGTATGTTTCATAATTCATGGAAAAATGAAGCCTGACCTGGGATACACTCAGATAAAGACGGTTTTAAAAAGACAATCCCTGTCAAAACAGCAACAGTGAGTTTGTCCTCAGAATACAAACGGGTTCTGCAAATATTGAGATTTAAAAATCAGTTCTATATTAAAATAAATAAATAAAATAAAGCACAACACTGTCAGTCGCTTCATTCTGTAATAAAATGAACCAAACATACTACATGTTGAAATATAGCGATGCAGACAACCTCTTCTCTGAGCTGTTAAAGGTTCCCTCAGGAACCCGACAAGCAAACAGTGTTCCTTAAACATTCCCAGAGTTCCTTGAGGCTCTCCTAATTCTCAGGGAGTACAGTGTTCCATGAATCACTTTTATGCACCAATTTGTGTCTTTTCTGCTTCAATTCCTGGTGGAAGTGTGAGAAACTATAATGAAACATATATGGGCCTAATTGCATTTTCCACAACGGATTCAGTGGATGTTGAGCTTATAATTTATATTCTGAGGGTACAAAAAGACCCGGTGTTTTTCAAAACCATTTACCACTTCTTTCTTTTTTCTATTGGTGGGACAAAAGCATGTGTTTTAAACAAAACCTTGAAAATCTAAGACCGTGAAACTGACATATAATGACCAGTTAGACTTTCCACACATTTTAGAAAGTTAAACCTAATACTTGGACGTTTTTATAACAAGAATTGACCAAAACTGAGGTCAAGATAGGCATAGCTGATCTTAAGGTTATAGCTGAGTGCATATTGTGAAGCTGAAATGTGTTTGTGGAATTTCTGCGAGATTTCGAACACATGAAAACCGAAATCTGAGCGTCTTTCCTTCATTACTATTCAGAACATAGTTGCCTTTTTAAAGCTTTCACAGCCTCACACTTGGATTTATGACGTGTTGAGGACGGACCTGCTCTTGTGGATCGAGTGGAAGCTGTTGAGGAGTCTCGGCAGTGGGTCATAATCAAAGGATTTACAGGTTTCTGCTCATCTGGTTTAAATACGGCATCAAACTACAGACTCTGCGTGCCAGCAGCTCCAGCGTGTACTTATGTGATGCAGAAGTGCGGCGTAATTATGCGGTTGTAAAGCAGAGCTGTACAGGTATGAATCTGCGCGCACGATTAAACATGAGTGAGCAGTTTGCGTCCACTTTGGATGCAGCTGTGTTGCAGAGATGGGCGTCGGAGCAGGAAGTCTGTCGGCCAGAACAACAATGACTGCAGCCTGACCTGCCCCACCCTCTGCTTATCCTGCTGTGTCTGGGAGCGAGGGGGGCAGAAAAGGCAAAGAAAACAGGGAAAGTACAACCATTCATCATCCCCGCATAGAACCGGCATGTATATAAATGTGTTGTAGGCTACGTTTCGGTCCTCTTCTGTCTGTGTTTTCTCTCTGTTTCTTTCTATTTCAGCCGCCCTCTCTGCTCTCTTTCTGAATCCACCAAACCACAGCTCTGGAAAATGTCCCACATACTTGTCATTCTTCCCCACCTCAGCCAGCACACTCTTAACTCAGCTAACTCCACTATCACCAGCAAACTTGTCATCCTGTCCCTGCTGCTCCTACTCCTACTCTTCTTCTTGTTCCCCCTTTCCTTTTCGACCACAGCTGCCTCCTCGTTTCTCCCGTCCTTCCCTTCTTCCTACTCAAATCTCTCCATCTGGACTGCAAACCCACACTGGCTTCGTCACTTC